TAGGTGTCCATAATCATAGGTGCATGTGCTCTGTGCTCATGCTCCCAAGTGTTATGATATCACATGTGGGTAATGCAACCTGGAAGGAAAGGCACAGGTGTTACAGTTTGGTGCAAAACTCATCCCTATATATTCTTGTCTCTTGTGAAGTAGAAATGCTAAGTGAATGCACAGAAACTTCATCACTGGAAGCAATCTATGTCTCCTATAATTATGATATATTTTCAACAATGCCCAGAACCCACAGTATGACAGATGGGAAGACTTTTTGTGCCTCTTGACATGCCTGTGCATCTTTATTTATTTATTAACACCATGTTGATGAAGCTTTAAGTCTATGAACTTAATAAAAAATAAGGAAGCCTGAAATATCATTTTCATTACTAACTCATGTGCCATTGACAAAGGTGTTATATGATGGTATTGTAACAGTGTGGTATCCATGGAGAGGGAGGTTCCAGGTTCACTGTCCCACCCTAAGGAAGGGTGGAGCTGGGGAAGAGAAGGGAGAAGCTAGGGAAGAGAAGAGAGAAGCAGAGATGGAGGAGGCACATGGAGCAAAAACACATGTGAAGAAGCCACTGTTGTGGGGGAGAATCGGGGTGTAGGCTGGAGATGCAGGGGTAAAAGAATGTACAGCAGACAGTGGAGAACAGGAAACGAGGAACAGAGTCCAAGGGTGTGGAGTAATTTAGCTGAGGGAACAGAGTAAGTTTGTGGTGAAATGTGCACAAGACTCAAATCTTCTCACCCTAGTGCAATTTTTTGCATGAAAAGGAAGGTATAACCCCACATTTCTTTTAATTCCTGCTCTATTCCCCAAAGTGAAAGGAGAAGAACATGGAAATGAAAGTGCCTCAAGCTACTTCCCTGGCACCACACCAGATGTAAGATGGAGGGACAGGCTATTCCCGATTTCTCCAACATTAGCTTCCACTTGCATAGCCTGTCACTCACCAGTGAACATAGAAAGGGCTGTGTCTGCAGTATCTATCTTGTCTTAATACATTTTATTGTACCCCTCCACTTTCTTCCCAGAAAACCCCTTCATTCTCACATCATCTCTCACTATCCCTACTAATAACATGAGACCATATATGTGGTTGTTTTCTTTTTTAAAAGTTGTTTCATACAAGTTTATTTAGGGATTTGATGTTTACTCAATAAGATTTTATTTGTTTCTCATTTGCTTCCTCACTCATTAGCTCATCTAGTTCTGAAGAATGATTTGTCATCTTGACCAGGCAACCATCTTAAGATTTATTGACAACTCAGGTTTTCTGCAAGAACTTCATTGATTTCAGTCACTTCTGATAGAATAGAGTTCACCAGTAGCTTTCACACTTTCCAAAGGCCCAAACTCATCTTGTTTGCTCAATTTTGTCCCAACTTCAGGCAGATTAAACATATCCCAAAACTTCCTGTGCAAAATTGCTGATTCCTGCTGTTCCAGTGTCATGTTCTATTGTTACCCATTCATGTTTGTCTGTGAATTTACACCTGAGAGCGGAATGGCGACCCTATGCAGCATCTGGATGACACTCACCCCCATGTGGTAGGGCTTACAGTGGTGTAGAAGAGGTGGGCACCTGGCAGGCATAGCTGTGGGGGCTTCTTATATGAACTCTAATGATCCCAGTAACAAACTCAGAAGCAACAGAAATAGCAGGGACTCCCTACAAATCCCAGTGAATTTCAGCCTCATAGGAAATAGTATCTGATTTGATTAGGTCACGTATGTTTAGCTGACTTTAATTTTAATTCCTCCAGTATATCTCCAAATTTATTGTACTAGTGTTGAACTGCCTTGTGGCTGTTTTTCCTTCCCCATCAGAAATGAGCAAGGTTTGTGTTTAGCTGTGGCAGTATTACTCTGGTTCCCTCTGGTTCTCTTCTGTGCCACCCCCAGAATGAGACTCATGTTCTTGGGAGCTTTTGCTGAGTATCTCCCATGTCAATAAAATGAAAGTGCAGTTTATGCTCCCAGACTTTGCAAATGAAACACTCTCAATAATCGTTTTTGTTTCATTTAGCACTGTTTTTCTCAACGGGGCCATGGTTTTGAAGTAGCATGTGTATTAACATGTCAGACACAGTTGCACCTGTCGATAATTCTCTAAAATTCCATTAAGTTTATTTTGTCGTAATGATATTTGGAATTGTTCCTTTAGGTTTAAAGTAAAATGTTGAGGAGACAAAAATAGACTTATAAAACATCTTAAGATCTAATATGAATTTTGGTAAGGTTTATATTTCTAATACAGAAAATTGGCATCCCCTGGTGTCATGGGGAAAGTCTTATGCCTGAGTTGGCATAGATTGCATTGACTTCTTGATATTCTTTCTTTTTTTTTAAAGGAGATTTTTCTTTTCTTTTTTAAAGATTTATTTATTTATTTATTTATACACGCACTGGGTACAGTCAGAAGCGTGGGAGGGTGAGAGAATTCACCAGAGCCAGAGCGGAGAGCAGAACAGGCAGAGTGACGAAGTACACTGCTGAGGAAAGCAGCGGGCAGCAGGAGAGGTCTGCCCGCCATGTGGGACCCTTGCCCGGAGGTCGGGGATAGAACAGGCGCTGCAGAGGCTGTGGGCAGCTTTGCAACCCAGCTGCGCCACTGGGGAGGCCCGACTTCTTATTATTCTATTGCCTTTCCCATGCAGAGCTAATAGGATCTAATATTTAAAAATCTATTTGTCATTGCCTTAAGAAATCACTGAATTTATAAAATAATAAAACTTGCTTATTTGATTTAATTTAGTAAAAAGAAGTTTCTATAGTATTATGTGTTTGTAACTTGTCTGTAAGACAAGAAGATGCTCTCATAAGGTTTAAGTCAAAGAAGTGAAAAATTACAAAAAGCAGAAAGGGGGTTGCTCCGTGAAATCCAAAGGATTTGCTAACTCACTTATTGAAGTTAGGGTCCTATGCTTCCCCAAAGGCTGGAAGAAAAGGGCATATAGCTTCAGTTGGCTGAAACAATTTCTTTTGACAGTCTTGAGTTTCCTCACGCAGAGATTTTAAAGAGAGTTGTGGGTAGGGTGGCTAGTGGCATGCTAGGGATGCAGCTTTGAATTCTTAGTAACTACACTCCTGTTTTGTTGAAGTCTTTATCCAACAGATTTTGCAGATTAGTTGAGAAGCAGGTTTAGAGCAGCCTAGATAGAGCTGTTGAAGGAGAGAAGTTTTTTGTCATGTAGTACTGCTCTTTCAATTTTTAATCATTCCCATTTCACATTATTCCCAAGAGATAACTCTATGCATCTTAAATTCTCTTGAACGTTTAAATTTAAAAGGATTACTAAGTAGTTCCCATATTGAAGTTGGTTTTGGAGATGTTGGTTTTGGAGAGTGGGGTCCTTGGGTTAACTCTGGGGAAAGTTTCACTAGAGCTCCTCATTCAGCAGCACCAGTGAGTTTCCCAGGTGAGTTTCTCCATAAGACAGAGGAATTAATTATATCCAAAAGGGCAGGTTTATTATAAAAGGGAGGGAAGGGTAAAGAATGCTTGCACAGACACAAGCTGGCAGAAAGAGCTGCCCCTGAAAGGGTCAGGTTTGCTAAGAGAAGTCTGCATAGTTGCAGGCAGGCAGACTTGGGAGAAGCTACCCCTGCTGCTTTGCAAAGAGAAAGAGTTGGCGGGGAGGAGCTCCTGCGTAGGCCCAGTGGGGTAGAAGGGCCATGGCTCCTGTTCCGCAAAAGGAAATGGTTGGCAAAGAAAAACACCCCCACAGTCTCTGGTGGGTAGAGGGGCTGCTGCCTCTTGCCAGTGCAGAAATTGCCCTGATATAGTCTTTTTCTCTTTGGGAGGGGCTCTTTCCTTGTGGTGGTGTTAACTTTTGTTAATTATGAATTACTACACAGCATATGAAAAGGATCAGAGATTCTCCAGTGGCCCTCATTTGCCAAATCCTCTTTCCTTTGGTCTGCGCCTCTTTATACTCTCTCTAGCAGTCTGGTACTTGCTCTAGAAGTTGAAACCTAAGGATTTTTCATTTCTATAGGGGGTTTAATGACTATGTTAATCACTTCTACCTTAACTGCCAGCTCCTGGCATGGCATGAGCCAGGTTTCTGGTCTTGTGGTGCCTCCTTTGCAATTTTCCCACTCTTAACCTTCATCAGTATCATCGTCACCTTTTCCCCCCAACTTTGTATTGCAAAATTTTCAAACACTTCGAAACAGTTGAATGTGCCTTTCTACCCATCTCTTCCAAGTAAATAACATTTTCTGAATTGTTTTCCTTGTCTCATTGCTTTTCTTAAATTTTGTGAAATAAATTTCAAAGATTTAATTTCTTTTTTTTTTTTAGAGGCATGTTTTATTTATTTATTTGTTTGTTTATTTATTTATTTATACAAGCACTGGGTACAGTCAGAAGCGTGGGAGGGTGAGAGAATTCACCAGAGCCAGAGCAGGGAGCAGAGCAGGCAGAAGGACCGAAGTACACTGCTGAGGGGAGCAGCGGGCGGCAGGAGAGGTCTGCGCGCCATGTGGGACCCTCCTCCGGTGGCCTGGGAGCAGCCAGGGATCGAACCGGCGTCGCAGAGGCCGCGGGCAGCTTCGCAACCCAGCGCTCAACCGCTGCGCCACCGGGGAGGCCCATCAAAGATTTAATTTCAACTCTAAATACTTCAGTAAGCATGACCTCATTATACGGTACATTTTCTTACGTGGTTTTAATATTATTTTTACAATTAAAGTTACCCAAGTGCATATTCAAGATTCCCCAATTGCCTGCAACTTTTTGGACAGCTGTCTTTACTCAGTGGAAATTTGGATGGAGGAACACGCATTGCAGTCTCTGGTAAACTTCAAATTGAATCCGGGGGACACTGAGACACTAGCGCAGGCGTCAAGGGCAATTAGTTTCAAACTTCTGAAAAATCAGAAACACACCTACAAGGCCTCATTAGCGGGAGCGGCCCCGGTGTCTCACGGGAAATGTAGTCTCCTCAGTCACAGACGCCCGCGCAGCACCTTGGGAAATAGTCTCCTGGCTCTATCTGCGCATGTGCAGCTCCGGTCCCGCCTCCGTGCTGCCTCTGCTCTAAGCACGGTCGCATAGTGTCTGACGGCTGTTCTGGTGCGCGCTGATAGCGAGGGTCCACCGCAGGTGATGGGGAGTCTGTATGGCCTGGGCACCAGCTTGTGCCCGGGGAGGGGAGAACAGGAAGTCCAAAAGTCCTCTAGGTGGGACTCTGAGGCTGACCTCATCACCAGGGGGTGGTGGGGCAGGTGCTCGGCGCAGTCCGGGGTGAGCTGGTGGTACCCTGGGCCCGGCCCCCCTTAGAGTTCTCGGTGAGATCTTTGCAGGCGACGGGAGGCTGAGTAAGCGGGTTTATCATGTGGACTAAGAGCGCGCCGCAAAGCAGAGGTGGAGGGTTTGCAGTGAGAACCCACCTGTGGAGACAGAAGAATCTCGTTACGTTTCGAGTCAACCACCTTTAAGCAGATAAAGATAAATAGCCTAGACAGGAGTCAGGTCTTTTCAGACAAAACAAAATTCATAGGCGTAAACTTAGAGATTTAATGGACTTCATGAAACGACTCGTGAATTCGTGGTTTTCGATCCATGTAGCAAGTCGCTCTCGGGAGCTGTACAAAATGGACGGTTTTTATAGGGAGTGGGGCAAGGAAATTATTAGCTGAAGAAAAGGAAGGATTGCTTCTGACAAGGTTATCTTCACTTGGGGGAAGCTGGTGTGGGGTTATTCTGTAGATTCTGTTACCTTCTCCTGGGAGTTGTTGAACCTGCAGTTAATTTTAGATGGTAAGTCCTGATTTGAGGAGGTGGAACTTAGTGGAAGTGTGGGCATTTGGGACTTGCTGTCCTTTTTAGCACCTATTTGAAAATAATGATGGTGTTCTTAGAGATTAGTTATTACCTGTAAAACAGATAGCCAGCTGAGTGCCAACTCCTATTCAGAGGGCACTTTGTTCTCTTCATTGGGGGCCTTCTGTAAACAGCATAATGTTGGCTTTCTTGTTGTTGTTGTTGGACCCTCGCCGGCGGCCGGTAACGAACCGGCGCTGCAGAGGCGCAGCCTCGCAGCCCAGCGCTCAACTGCTGCACCACCAGGGAGGCCCCCTCGCCATGTTGGTTTTTGAAACCATTACCATCTGAGCGGAAAGAAAACAAAAAACAAACAAACAAAAAAACAAACCAGGATCAGGTTGGTTAGGTGATATGCTCAGGTCAAACCTAGCGTGAGGGCGTTCCCATTCTAGGGAAGATGTACTTTCAAACTCAAGCGCTATTCATATGTGGCATCTGCCCCAAACCAGCATTAAAGCCTTCATTGCACTTAGCAGAGTGACCTGTCCCTAAATACCCAGAGGTAAAGTAAAGCTGGAGGGAAATATGAATGCTGGCTCACCACTGTCAAATGTAAGTGGAATTTCTGGTGTCTCTTCAGAATCCTTGGGTCAGACAGAGGCCGCTAGCTGAAAGGGCAGGTGGGTTATGTTTTGAGTCTGAAATGATAGTGAATTCCGAGAGAGCCAGGCATGGGGCCCTAAAGTGAATTTGTTTCCTGGACCCAGGTCCTAGGTCTTGGAAACATATTTACTGTAGAACAAAGCAGTTTTTGTCATACAGGAATGCGATGTTGAGGAACAGCAGTTTTACCTGGAAAAGAACACCCCAGTTCTTTCTCTCCAGAACAAAGGGCAGAGAGGAGCAGGGCCTAACACTGCACAGTCTGAAGCTGTTCTTGATCCCTGAGCGCATATTGGAGATGTTGCTGCTTGCAGTAGCTACCACATGGTGTGACTGTGTGGGATTCGGGCCACCCTTCAGAAGAGGGAAGTGAGCTGGCTTGTGTGTTGCCAGGAAAGGCCTCCTTGTGGGAGAACTTGTGAGAGAGAGCTGTGGGGGGAGGATGTCACCAGCCAGGGTGTGGAATTCTATCTCCAGACCCTTAATTCCTCACTCTTTACAGATTCTGTGCCGCTCTCAGCCTGCCTATCAACACAGGGAGCAACACTGACTTACACTGACCTCATGGAATCTCAGAGTGATGTCCCACCCAGGGTATCTGCCTAATGAAAGCTTGAACGAAATTGAACCGCAGTGATTCAGTGACCTGTGAATTGAAACTCAGTTTCTGACAGAGCCAGAAGGAAAGCACAGTGAAGTTGACTTTGATAAGTTGACTTTGGTAAGTCACCAAAAGAGCTTATAAAAAGAATCATTTTGAAAACTAACTTGCTTAAAACTAAGAAATATTGTTGCCTTAAAGCACTTAATACTTCTTTTATTAGACTTTCTATGGTTTTACTCACTTTGATGGTAAGCAGTATTAATAGGAAATAGTTTAGTGCTGCAGCCTAGTTATTTTGCTGCATTGATTTAATTTTATTTTTTTTAGAAGAAACAATATGCTTTATTATTTATTTATAAAGATTTTAATTATTTTTGCATAGAAGGACTGGGATATAGGCCAGAGGTGTGGGGGGGTGGGGGTGAGAGGATTCACCAGAGACAGACCAGGAAACAGAAGAGGGGGAATCTACTGAAATACACTGCTGAGGGGAGCAGTGGGCGAGACAAGAGAGGTCTGTTGCACAGTATGTGGGTCAGCTCCCTAGCTGGGGATCAACTCAGGCCATCTTAGTGATAGTGCAGAGAGGTAGCCTTAGGCCACAGGGAGGCCGTGCTGCATTAATTTTAATGTAACCAATTCTGTATTGTGTTGTTTCTGTAAATTGCTCAGAAAAACAAATGAACTATCTTTTCACTAGAGAAAAGTTTGTATTCAGTCCATGTAAAGCTGTTGGTTGTGGTGGACATGACCGTTTCTGAGTCTTACCTCACTAGGTGGTGCTACAGCGTCCTTCCTAGGCCTCCCAGTGGAACCTTCCAGTTCCCTCCACTTTCCCCAGAGCAACAGAATGGACACATTCCAGGTGAGCTCATTATTCATTCCCTACTTGGCATTGTAATGGATTTATGAGGCTAGAAGGGTCTATACATTAACAGGAAAGGAGAGATAGAAATAAAGGCAGTCTTGGGAAAATATAGTTTGAACATTAACTCTGATGTTTGCTTGTTGGCTCTTGGAGGTATCCTTTGTTAATGAGTATTCCTTCTAGTGAGTAGGTTGCTTAGGTTTTAGTTTTGTCATGAATTGCTCTGAATTTTTTTGAGTGTTTTTTCTGTGTGCTGAAATACATAGGTTATTTCCTTTAATATGTAATTATTGTGAGTAACATAAGTTTTCTGAAATTAATTTATTCTGTGAGCTCATATCAGGCAAACTTACAATCTCCTCCTTGTCCTATCCAATTTTGGTTTTATGGTTATGTTAGCCTTATGAATGAATGAGTGAATGAATTAATGAAATAATGCTGTCTGCTGCTTCTTTTTACTTTGCTTGATGTTTTTTTCCCCTGTAATTTATATGAGAAAACTGCCTGCTTTTTTTTTTTTTGGGGGGGGGAGACTTATGTGAAGATTTTGAGAGTTGAATCAGTTTGTTAAATGATCATGATCTCTCCCATGCTTTTCCTCACTATGTATCTTACTAAGATCAAGAGTGTTTGATGATCACATTTAATTAAAAAAAAACCTTTTCTTTAGTTATTTATTTTATTATTTTTTTAAATGTTACCTAGACTCAGGTCAGAACAATATCTTCTCTTACTTTTGTAAATTTTATAATTATAGGTCTGTGCTATGTTGAGTTTTATTTTGGTGCAAGGCAGAGATGAAGATAACTTGCTAAGTTTTGCTTATGCATGTCTGATACTTCCAAGCACATTCACTGAAAAAAATATGCTTTCTTCATAGATTGCATTGGCACCTCTGTTAAGAATCATTTGGCATTATATCTTTGTGGTTCTTTTTCTGGGTTAGTGTTCTCTCTTAGTCTGTGTCAGTTCTCTGGCCAATACCACACTGCCTTTATTATTCATTATTCTTGCTTTATTTTTTTTTTTTTTTTTTTTTTTTTTATAAATTTTATTGTTATATTCCCCATACAATTGCAGCCCCCCATTCTGACCCCAATCCCTCCCCTCCCGCCCCCGCCCCCTAAAAGTGTCTCTGTTTCATAGTTTTTTGTTGATTTTGATTTTCACTTTCTTATAGTTATTCATTTTCCTGGTCCCTTATTTAAGTTTTCTAGATTCCTGCTATGAGTGAGACCATCCGGTATTTTTCTTTTTCTTTTTGGCTTATTTCGCTGAGCATGATCCCTTCCAGCGCCATCCATGTTGCTGCAAATTGCATGTGTTTATCTTTTTTGAATGCTGAGTAATATTCCATGGTATATATGTACCACATCTTCTTGATCCAGTCATCTATTTTTGGGCATTTGGGTTGTTTCCAAAGCTTAGCTATTGTAAACAGTGCTGCTATAAACATAGGGGTGCAGGTGTTCTTTGGAATTGCTGTTTCTGTGTCCTTTGGGTAAATACCTAGGAGTGGAATTGCTGGATCATATGGAAGCTCTATGTTTAGTAGGTCCAGAAATCTCCACACAGCTCTCCACAGTGGTTGGACCAGTTTGCACTCCCACCAACAGTGCAGAAGAGTTCCTTTTTCTCCACACCCTCGCCAGCATTTGTTGTTGCTAGTTTTTTTAATATGTGCCATTCTCACTGGTGTAAGATGGTATCTCATGGTAGTTTTGATTTGCATTTCCCTGATGGCAAGTGATGTTGAACATTTTTTCATATGCCTGTTGGCCATTTGCATTTCCTCTTCAGTCATTATTCTTGCTTTAAAATGTCTTAAAATTATAATGTTGCTCTCCCAACTTTGTTTTTGTTCTTTTTATTAGTTGTGTTGAATATTTTAAGTTCTTCCTCTTTCATTTAAGTTTTAAAATTCAGTTTTCTATCATCAAAATGTGTTCTGACTTGTGTATGCTCGCAGTGACTGTATACATCAGTTTAAGATCTCCCTTTTGTTTTCCAGAATCTTGTAACTGCAATGCAGTGTCTGATTTCATCTGTATATTCACAGATACTTTGAGTGTGAATATAGAGCATTTGCCTAACTCTGTTACCTTATTTCTGTTCTTCTAACAAATGTATGACACAGTTAGAAAAACCTATTTGTCTTCTTTTTATGTCTCATTTACTACTTATACAGAATGCATTACTCTGACACTTCTGGGCCCCAAAAGTGTATTTGTTTTTTTCCTCCCACTAGCAATTTTATGCCATACTAGCTGGGTATCCTACAATTTAACTGTATTCTGTTTCTACCTGAAGAGAATATCAGATTTCACAGATTTAGACCTGAGTCCCACAAAACTTTCCACCTACTTGAGATCACAGGCTGAAGGGGAGCAGTCTAGTTATCAGCTATAAATCTGTGAATAACACAACCCTGTCTTTGGTTTCTATTACCTTCTTACAGTGGCTCACAGACTCAGGAAAACATATTTATTAGAAGTATTACAGTCCTGTTATAAACAGTTTATTAAAGGATATGATAAAGATACAAATGAGCAACCAGATGAAGAGATAAGTGGAGGTTTAGAGCATCGCAAGCCCTGGATCCTGTCTCCATTGAATTGAAGTTCATCCTGTGGATGGATGGATGTGTTCAACTATCTAGAAGGTTTTTAAACTCAACTTTGGGAGTTTTTTTCCTTTGGCCACATTGTATTCAGCTTTATTAAATATAACTTTTCATAAATAATTATGGTATTTCACACAAGATATAGGAAGACAGTGGCTTACAACACTCAATAAATAAAACCAATAAAGTCTTTATTTGATACTCTGAACAAGGAAAGTTTAGAGTGTAGGTCATTTCACACTTAGCATGTTAACAGCTTTTCACAAGCTGACCCTGACTTTCTAGAAATGAAATGAAAATAGTGAAATTATCAGTCTGATGTTCCCTAGTATCAAAAAAGGAATTGTTGCTCTTTTGAGGATGCCATCTCAGCAGTCACATTGGAACACCCAGATTGTCACATACTGGTAACCATTTTTTTAAAAAAAAGATTTATTTATTTATGCATACAAGAACTGTGGTACAGGCCAGAGATGCAGGGGGTGAGAGGATTCACCAGAGACAGAATGGAGAACAGAACAGGCAGATTGACTGAAATACACTGCTGAGGGGAGCAGCGGGTGAGACAGGAGAGGTCTGCTGTGCCCTGTGGGTTAGCTTCCTGGCCAGGGATTGAACTCATGTTGCAGTGGCTGGCGATAGCTTGATTGTGCTGAGACTTTAACCCCTTTGCCATCAGAGGCCCAAATTTCTGTATTTTTATAGAACTTGATAAAAGATAGTATTCGGGCCTCCCTGGTGATGCAAGGGGTTAAGATGCAACCTATGAAGCTATCCACAGCCACTGCAACATGAGTTTTATCCCCTGCCAGGCAGCTACCCACATGGCGTGGCAGACCTCTCCTGACTCGTCCACTGCTCCCCTCAGCAGTGTATTTCAGTAGACCTGCCTCTTCTGTTTCCCACTCTGTCTCTGGTGAATCCTTTCACCCCCCACATCTCTGGCCTGTACCCTAATTCTTGTATGCATACATAAATAAAATCTTAAAAAAGATAGTATTTCAACTTTACAGTCACCAGAAGCACACAGTTAACAAAAATGTACCCACTTCATTTGGCATCTCCAGCCTTTCAACTTTCTGTGCTGAATCTGTTTTGGCATCTCTCTATTTGTCAGGATTATTCCCTTCCTTGTCAGCATCAGCTTTACCCTTTTCCCCCTTTGGGTAACTTCTCTTCCTACTTTGAGGGGCCTTTTTAAGCTTGGACTCTGCCTTTGGAGGAGCACATTTAGTACATAACCTTATGGATCTTCTCTGTGCCTGGTCTTTCACCTTGGCCTTATCCCCTTCAGAATCTCCTTCAGCCTTTCTCTTGGGCATGCTGGCAGCTGTATGGGTGCTGGACATGGGTATGTGGGGATGCATAGGGTTTGATCAGTCTAGGGGGTTCTTCTCATTTCACACTGGTCCAGATATTTGGGATTTTTATGGAGGATTCATCACATAGGGTTGATCAGTTATTATTCCTATCTCCAGTTCTTTCCCCTCTAGAGAAATGGAGCTAAAGTTTTGGAGTCTTTAATTATGGCTTGAGATTTCTGGTTACCAACCCCCATATAGACCGTCCAGTCTCCAAATTAGAATAAAAGATGCTCCTAGTGCTCTCATCAGTTAGGAGTTTATAAGGGATTTAGGAGTTCTATGCTAGGAATGGGGGTGGAAAGTATTAGTATTTTTGTCTTTCTGCTTCAGAGTTCTTTGCTTTAATTATATAAAGATGAACTTACAGCTTTATAATCTAAAAGTATTTACTTATTAAAACTGTATTAATACTTTCATAAACTGCAAAAAAGATGAGACAGATGTGCATTTATAGAACTGCATTATCACTCATACCACATCCCTGTGGAGAAAATTCCCAGCATTACCTCGTTTATCTGGAAGGACACAGAACAATCCTTGTTTAGATGTACTTATTCATCTACTTTTCCAGAATGGTCAGTTCTCCATTTCTTAATGGTTTTCTTCTGCTGTGAATATGCTTGCCCAGTTGTCTGCTTCTTACAGCAAACATCTGCCTTCCTCATCTACCAGCTGTGATTACGAGGGCCCTACAGAAGATTGATTTAATCTGTTCTGAGAGGGTTTCCTGGTGGCCCTCTCCCATCATCTTATCTGGAATATCATATGCATTTTTATAGCCTCTTTGTCATGTCTTACTGAAGCAGAATTTTGAAAAACAAAACCAGGGGTTCATCTACTCCCCACATGAAATCTCTTACTGAAGATAGTATCTATGGGGACTGACTTTGACTGGCCAGCACTTGTTTATTTGTGATGTCAATCATCTTGCCTCTTGTTTCCCACCTCTGGACTGACTTATGCATCAGCATTTATCCAGTTGCTCCAGCAGCTTCTTTATGCAGAAATGTACAGAAAAATAATGATTCAAGTTGTGTTCCTTTCATTGATAGGGACTATTTTCCCATTCATAATTCCCATAGCTCTACTTTAGTGCAGGCTATCTTTCTTTTCTTTAATTCAATTTTTTCCTTTTAAAAACAAAAAAAGCAAAACCCTCAGGCGTTTGCTTACCCATTCCCTACCCACAAGAACTACTAATTTGATCTCTGTTTCTGTGAGCTTAGTGTGTTTTGTTTTAGGCCCCACAGATGAGAAAGGTCATATATTGGTCTTTCATGTCTGACTTATCAGTAGGCATAATGCCATTAAGTTCCAAAAATTGTTCTCATTTGTTTCTCTGGCTAAGATTTTCCCAACTCTTCTTCTAGAGCATGATTTCTGAACAAGTCTGATCACAGTTACTGTTTCCCTAGCACGTACTGTTTCCCTAGCATGTACCTCCAACTGGATGTATGTACCTAGAGAATGCTCAGGACAGTGCATTGTGTAATAAGAAAAGATTAGTCATAAAGCATAGTCATAAAAACTATCCAAAAAAAAGATGATAAACTTTACCAGTAGTATTTCACTGACAGTCTATGTATATAACTTATATACAAATACATTAGAGCATAAGAATAGTATTTGTATCAATGATGTGCGTACCCCCAAAGTGTAACACAGTGATATAGCCATTATACAACTTTGTTTTACATTCTCAATAGTAAACATGGTATGAGTTCTCAAAGGTATTTTCCACATCACCTGTTTCTGAATGAATTGAAAATGTGCTTTACTGGCATCAGTGTCATTCAAGGACGTGACTGTGGAGTTCACCCAGGAAGAGTGGCAGTACATGGATCCTGTGCAGAGGACCCTGTACAGAGACGTGATGCTGGAGAACTACAGCCACCTGGTCTCAGTGGGTGAGCAGCCCTTTCCATGTTTCTCTCTGTAGAATGTGATTTTTTCTTCTCTCTTTCTAAAACTTTAAATTTCTATATAACAGAAAAAAAAGTCAGTAATTTTTAGTGTGTAATTTGATGAGTTTCAAAAATGTTTATAGGCAGTTACTGCTACCTTAATAACGATATAAAATATTTGTCAACTCAGAATTTCCTTGTAGCTGTTTGCAGTCATTATTCTCACCCTTCCCTCTTCCTAACACCTTCAACCACTGAACTACAACTACTTCATATATCAATATTTTTGTCTTTCCAAAATGTTATTTACCTCATACATTATTTACTCTTTTTTGATGCTTTTTCTTAGATTTTAAAGTTCATGCATGTTTTTATGTATATCATTATTCCTTTTATTATAATAGCATTCCTTTGCATGCATCTTGTCATAATCTGTTGCTTGTTACTTATATACCATTTGATAGTCATATAGGTTGTTTTCTATTTGGGCTACAAAGATTTTTCATTTCTTCTATGTAAATATTCCAAAGTATCATTGTTCTTATGGTAGTTTATAATAGGCTACCAGATGTTTCCAAAGTGACTGTACCCATTTTCTTTTTTTTTTTTTTAAAGATTTATTTATTTATACAAGAACCGGGGTACAGGCCAGATGGGCGGGAGAGTGAGAAGATTCACAGAGACAGAGCGGGGAACAGAACAGGCAGACTGACGAAATACACTGATGAGGGGAGCAGCGGGCAAGACAGGAGAGGTCTGCCGCGCCATGTGGGACCCTTGCCAGCTGGCCGGGATCAAACCAGTGCTGGAGAGGCTGCGGATAGCTTCACAGCGCTGTGCTCAACCTGCTGTGCCACAGGGAGGCCCGCTCCAGAAGATTTAAATAATCCTATTTGAAGACATGAATCTAATACATATTTATTAGTAACTGTTTTGTGCCTGATTCAGCCTGTCAATTACCAGCATTATAGGTGGGCCCTTCCATCCTTGTTCTGATTATGACTGAAATATGCATGCATGCAATAACCATCGAAAACTTTGGAATATTAGAGATGTAGATTAGATTGTAGAGACTTGCAAATTCAAAGCACACTTGAAGCCACAGAGATTGGAATAGAGAGTTTATGTAAATAGGTTAGCCCTGAATGATATATCTATAAGTATAGCAAAGAGATATACAGGGTAAATTCAGAAAAAATGTGTATACAAGGTTGTTTTTGGAGCTGATCTATTGGTGGGGTTGGGGGTGGGGGAGGGTGTGTGGAATAGCCTAGTAAGAGTATTACAGAAAGACACTGTGGACTTACAGATTTTTCTAATGCCATTTTGAACACCTGAAATTATTATGCAGGTAATGTGAAAACTTGCTTTCATAAAAGAGAAAACTCTTTTATCTTCCTCTGTACCTCCCCCTCCCCATCTACCCTCCTCTTCTTACCACCAGCACAGGCGCTGATTGCTTCAGATCATCTTAGGCTTTTGTAAAGCCCTGACAATACTGCATAGAGTTTGGGTGGCAAAAGGGTAGTAGTCAAATAGACACAATATATTAAAGGATATTTCCATAATTTATGAGAGCAGGGTGAAACATATGATGCCCAAAGTTCTCACAATTGGTAGATACCAAAATTGCTGAAAAGAGGGTTGTGAAATATGGGACTGGGTTGAAACCCATTTCAAAAACATGTATAAGCATATTAAAAAAGATCATTTGATGATCAAAAAAGACTTACTTTCCAACAACACTAATATAACCCAAAGAACTAGAAACCAGATAGAGCAGTGAGCTCAAACTAGGTGGAAAGATAGATTTTCTGGGCCTCCCCTGGTGGTGCAGCAGTTGAGTGCTGGGCTGCAAAGCTGCCCACAGCCTCTGCAGAGCAGGTTCAATCCCTGGCCATCGGCAAGGATCCCACATGGTACGCAGACCTCTCCTGCCGCACCCACTGCTCCCCTCAGCAGTGTATTTCATTAGTCTAACTGTTCTGTTCCCCGCTCTGGCTCTGGGGAATTCTCTCACCCTCCCATGCTTCTGACTGTACCTAGTGCTTGTATAAGTAAATAAATAAATCTTTTAAAAAAAATATTTTCCTCTAGTCTTTCTGGGCATTTGTGTTCCTATGACTGATATCCAGGATATTTAGAGGTTGGGCTAAATGATTTTTTCTTTAAACATGAGGAATATATGGTCTCATAAACTTTTGGTGTTGATGTGTTCAGAGAAAAATGGTACCTCCAACTGGAAGCATGTAACTTGATGGGTATCCTATCATTGTTATCTACTACTATCCTTTGATAGTTTAAGAACCTAGATTCTAAAAATATCCTAAATGTAAACCCTTTTCCTGTGGTCTTCCCCTCCTCCCACCCACAATCATTGATCTTTTTTTCCTGATCATTAAATTCATCTCATTCTCAGATTTTCCATTTCTAGGATCCAACTCTGAAAACACTTATATTCCTAATTCTTTGTTCCTTTCCTTTATACCTGCTTCTTTTCTCAAATTTTAAAATTATATCTTAAAATTCCAAATGGCTACAGTATTCTTTTTCTAGGATATTCCTTCATCTAGTACAACAATTCTCCCATCTCCATCCCTTCCCCTCTATCCCACTGCCACCTCCCATGGAAAGTGAATATAATATATATATTATAGAATATATTCTATAATATATATATTCTATAATATATAGTATAATATATAATATAATATATATGTGGAACTAAGATATTGTGAGAAACAGCAAAAAACAAGTCAAATATATACAAAGGCATGTGTATATAGTGGCTTTTACATAGAAGATAATTCTACCCTTTCTTAAGGAATTTTTAACATTCTCATTTTTAAAAGAATGCCAACTCATTCTCTTACTGAAGAGCCAGGAAAAGCAAGACAAATATTTCTTTAATTGTGTATTCTGCAATGACAAAACTTTGATTGCAAATCAAGAAAAGATTCAGGGAAGCCTTTTAATCTGCACCCTCTCCATTCAGAAAACTATGAGACACTATGGGGCCTAAGTGTCTGTCTACTCATTGACTTCCATAATTACTCAGACAATGAGGAAAAGTTTAATGAATCTCATTTCAATCCCATAAATGAGAGAGCAAAATCTTTTGATTACAATAAAATTTTATTTTATTATTATTATTTTTTAAAGATTTATTTATTTATTTATACAAGCACTGGGTACAGTCAGAAGCACAGGAGGGTGAGAGAATTCACCAGTGTAAGAGTGCAGAGCAGAACAGGCAGACTGATGAAATATACTGCTGAGGGGAGCAGTGGGCGGCAGGAGAGGTCTGCGTGCCATGTGGGACCCTCACCCGGTGGCGGGGATCGAACCAGCGCTGCAGAGGCTGTGGGCAGCTTCGCAACCCAGCACTCAACCGCTGCACCACCGGGGAGGCCCCTACAATAAAATTTTAAATGCATATTTTTTGTATAAGATGTTTGTACTTTGGGACAGTGTTTTGACTATAACCAATGTGTTAATACTATTTTGGATAATGCTGCTTTGAAAATACATGTAAAAGTGCCCATCCCCACCTCCCATAATGATGTTACTATAAATTTGGAAGCAATCTGAATAATAAATAAACACTTATTTTCTCTCAAGGAATTCACACAGAGAAGACTAACTGAATTTAAGGAAGGTGAATGTAGCAAAATATGGAGCAATTTCAATGGAAGTGTTACTCCAAATAAGATAACTGATATAAGAGAGAAAACTGCTGGTCAAATACTGCATTCCAGAGGATATCATATATCTCACACAGGAATGAAAGCTCTTGAATGTGAAAATAACCTCAGCCACAATTTAACCATTATACTAAATCAGAAAACTCACACAATGGAGACATCTTGAGCTAAAAACACACACAGGGCAACTTTCAGTATTCATTCGGCCTTAAATAGACAACAGAGAATTCCCAGTAAGCAAAATGAGTGTAATGAGTGTCAAAAATTATTCTCTAGGAGGTTGTCCTTTGTTTTACATCAAATAACTCCTATAGGCGAGAAAACCTATGAATGCAATGAGGAAACTTTTTCCTTTAAATCATTCCTAACAGTCTATCAGAGAACTCATGCAGGAGAGAAACCCTACCAATGTCATTTATGTGGGAAAACTTTCAAGTGGAAGTCACACCTCAGTGGACATTAGAGAACTCACACAGGGGAGAAACCCTATCAATATCATCTCCATTTCATATCTCCAAATACATCAGAGAGGTCACACAGGGGAGAAATGCTATAAATGTGATGAATGTGGAAAAGCTTTCAGTCACAAATCAAGCCTGGGAAGACATCAGACTATACATATTAGGGGGAAGCCCTATAAGTGTGATGAATGTGGGAAAACATTCAGCCAGAAGGGAATCCTTTGAAAACACGAGACAACTCACACAGATGAGAAGCTGTGTATGTGATGACTGTGGGGAAACCTTCAACTAGAAATCAAACCTTATAAGACATCAGAGAACTCACATAGGGACAAAATCCTATCAGTGTGCTGAATGTGGGAAAGCATTTAACCACAAATAACACTGCAGTGGACACCAGAGAATTCAGTTAGAGGAGAAACCTTATCAATGAAATGAATGTGGGAGGGCTTTCATCTCTGTGAAATATCTTAGAATACATCAGAGAAGTCATATCAGCGTGATAAATGTGGGAAAACAGTCATAAGTCAGGCCTTAGAAAACATCAGATAATTCACACTGAAGAGAAACTTTATCAATGTGATGAGTGTGGGAAAACTTTCAACCTGAAGTCAAGCCTTGAAATTCATCAGAAGAGTCACTCGGGCGAGCAACCTCATAAATGTGATGAGCGTGGAAAAACTTACAACCTGTAGTCAAGCCTTGGAATGCACCAGAAGATTCACTCATGGGAGCAACCTTATAAATGTGATGAATGTGGAAAAACTTTCATCCTTAAGCCAGTTGTTGAAGAACAAACAACTCATACAGGGGAGAAACCCTATAAATGTTATGACTGTGGGAATGCATTCAGACAGAGGTCACATCTCTGTGTACACCAGAGAATTCACACAGGGGAAAAACCCTATAAATGTGATGAATGTGGGAAAACATTCAGACAGAAAGGAAATCTTAGAGAACATCAGAGAACTCACATAGGAGAGAAACTCTATGAATGTCCTGAATGTGGGAAAGCTTCCAGCCTGAAGACAAGCATTAGAATACATCAGAGAAGTCACACAGGGAGCAAATCTTATAAATGTGATCAATGTGGTAAAACATTCAGCCTGAGATCAACTCTTGGGGAACATAGTACTACTCACACAGGGGAGAAACCCTATAAATGTGATGAATGTGGGAAATTTTTAGAAAAAAAAATTAAACCTTAACATCACAGAAGTCACACTGGGAGGAAATCCTACAAATGTGATGTATGTGGCAAAACATTTAGAACAAAATCACACCTCACTGTACATTTTAGGGTACAGATGGGAGAAATCCTACAAATGTGATGAATGTGGAAAAACTTCCAGACGGAAGGCAAACCTTAGGGAACACTGGAGAAGTCATACAGGAGGAAAACCCTATAAATGCAATGAATGTGGGAAAACTTTCAGCCTGAAGTCAAAACTTGGAATACATCAGAGAATTCATATAGGAGAGAAATCCTATCAATGTGGTGATTGTGGTAAAATATTTAGTCAGAAATCCCACCTAAATGGACACAAGTGAATTCATACTGGGGATAAGCCCTATAGATGTAATGAATGTGGTAAAACTTTCAGCCTGAGATCAAGCCTCAGAATACATCGCAGAACTCACACAAGGGAGAAATCCTACAGATGTGATGAATGTGGGAAAGCTTCTCAGCAGAAATCATACCTCAGTGAACATCAGAGAATTCACACAAGTAAGAAACCATGTGAGTGTAATGAATGCAGGAAAACTTTTAGCCTGAAAACAATGCTTAGAAAACACCAGAAAACTCACATAGTGAGAGTCCCCGTAAACTTTCAGCATGAAATACCTCAATGGACATTAGAAAATTCACATGGGAGAAATGATTGAAATATTTGTAAGCTGTCAAGCCTTGGAATACATCAGTGAAATCACTGTGGGGAGAAACCCAATGGTAAATATTAAAATGGTGAATATGAAAAGCTTTTGGTATGAAATCATAGCTCAGTGGATATCAGAGAACTGACACTGCAAACAACCCAATGGGTGTTAATGAATGTGGGAAAAATTTCCTTTGGAATCAGACATCACAGTGCATCAGAGATTGCATAAAGAAACAACTATGTTACTTATGTGGAAAATGTTTGTTTTGCAGTTTCATTCTAAGAAACCACTTGAGACTGTCCACATAGGATAGTTTAGTGAATTACATTTTTAGCAATTAGTCTTATCCTTGAGAACAGTGGTAAACTTGTGTGAGAATTCAAAGAGATTTCAAATGCAAAAACACAAATAGAGGAACACAGATTTTCTCTCAGGTTCGAATGTGGCCATGCAAATTGAAAGGTAATAGCGAAGAGGTGTTCTTTTTCATGTAAGAGAAGATGTCACAGAAAAGAGATCAAAGAAGTGTTCTGACTGAAGCTTCTATCCCATTTTCTGAAAAGGGCAATATAGTTGTGAGAAGTGGCATGACAAAGGAAAAAGGTTTTCAGCTTCTAGAGTTGGTAAGTTTTGTCAAATGTATGTTCAAGGGAACCAACAGCAGATGAAGTTATTAGAATAAGAGTTCTTTAAACAGATAGTAGTTGATGCCTTCTCCAGTGATTTTGTTTTCTCTTCTTCCTAAGGGAGATATGATGGGAAACACCTTCATGAAGGGAGATTTATACCCTGTGCTTCATCATGGTGATGAGAAACTTCATATGTGATGAATGTAGGCAAGGTTTCTGTCAGTAGTGAAACCTCAGCATCAGAACTCACAGGAAATGAAATTTGGTAGTAACTAATAATGGAAAAAATTTAAAACCTTTATGCTGACATCAAGTTTTGTATTATACCGGTAATCAGTATATGAACAACCCTGTAAATGTCATGGATCTTGGAATACTTTTAGCCAGTAATAATAGCTTAGAGATGATCAGAGTATTTGATGTTTGGCAACTGTCAAGATGAAGGTAGAGTAATTTCAGCCACAAGTTAGGGCTAAGAAAATGTCGACCTTGGGCTTCCCCGGTGGCGCAGCGGTTGAGCGCTGGGTTGCGAAGCTGCCTGCAACCTCTGCAGCACCAGTTCGATCCCCGGCTGCTCCCTGGCCTCCGGAGGAGGGTCCCACAAGGCGTGCAGACCTCTCCTGCCGCCCGCTGCTCCCCTTAGCAGTGTACTTCAGTCCTGCCTGCTCTGCTCCCTGCTCTGGCTCTGGTGAATTCTCTCACCCTCCCGCGCTTCTGACTGTACCCAGTGCTTGTATAAACAAATAAATCTTTAAAAAAAATAAAAGATAAAACAGTAATAAAAAAATTAAAAAAAAAAAGAAAATGTCAACCTTGCTTGCTTAAATATGTACATAACTCGGTGCAGCAGACCTCTCCTGGCTTTCCCACTGCTCCCCTCAGCAGTGTACTTCGGTCAGTCTGCCTGTTCTGTTTCCCACTCTGTCTCTGGTGAATCCTCTCACGCCCCGCCCCCCACACACCTCTGGCCTGTACCCCAGCTCTTGTATGCATAAATAAATAACTCTTTAAAGAAAATATATACATAACACATAGTGCTGGAAGGTGGAAAGTCCAAGATCATGGCTCTGGCCAATTTGTTGTCTCATCAGCACTCACTCACTGCTGCTGTGAAGGCTGCCTTTTTACTGTTTGCTCTCATGGAGGAAGGGGCAAGAGATTTCCGTTATAAGGGCACTGATCCCAGTCATGTGTCTTCAAAAGTCCCCCATCTCCAAATCCAAGAACATTGGTGATTTTGTTTTGAGGTGAATTTTGGGAGGACATCTATTGGCAACATCTTACTGGAAGGAAACCATTGAATGTATAAAGACAGTCGTTCAGTAACTAAGAAGTTTAGTTCTTACCTTGTATTGTGTAATTCTCTGAGTGAAAGAAACACTGAAGGTAATGAATATAGAAAAGATTGTGTAGGAATTCAACCATCAGTAAACTTCCATGTAGAGAAATACTGAAAAAAAAAATTAATGATTTTTGTCTAAAATTGAATCTCACTGAGTAGAGAATTCACGTTGTAAAATTTAGAATGTAATCAATGTTGATACCTTCAACCAAAAGCAACCTTTCTCAGTACAACCCACAATGCATAGAGCAGCAGAGAATATCATTTATCAACTGAATGAAAGAAAACTTAGAAAGTATTGGGTTTGGGAAATCCTTACAGCAGCCAACTCATAATAATAAAAGAGAGACCCTAGCTCTACATATGTTCTTCAATAACCATTTCCTTCTGTCCCTAGAGCCATAACTAGTGCAAACACTGTCATTCAAATGAGATCGGATCACTAGCTTTTAGATACAGGTTTAGGTGATAGCAGGACAGATGCTTTCATGCTATGTATTTTCTGCTGTCCCTGCATTGAAGATGGAGGAGTACCACATGGAAGGAATCAGGGTTCAAGAGTTTCTGTGATGAACAATTATCCTCTAACCCTTTGTGTTTTGTAACAGGAAATGTGTTCTCTGCTGAGCCATTACAGATTTTGATATACCAAGCACTGATACATTCTTTACATCCTTCAACTTAAGGAAAAATGAATATGATCTCTATGAAAACTGCCAAGTTGTGTGTCAGATTCACCACATGGGAGAAGCTCTTGTTAACAGATCTGCTATTAACCACAACTTTCATTAATCACACAAGTAAGAGGATTTGTCTGATGTTTCCTAAGGGCTGTGTTTAGGTTGCGTCCCTGTTGTAGCAACACAAAAGTTGATTTGAGGATTTCTCAGTACATTAATCATTATTAATGATATTAATCATTATCAACATATTAATCATTATTAACAGATTGAATTGTATAATTTGGTTAATGCTCTACCTCATGTTTCTTCACAAAAAAAGACATGCAAGGAGTTACATTCAGGCTGTATGTATCTATTATATATACATATATATTTATATAAAATAGATTTTTATACATAAATATATCAATATATCAATATATATCCTCTTAGTCCTCAAGCTTTTACTCACAAATTTTAGTTTTTCTGATCATTTCCCTAATCAATTGTTACTGTAGTTGAAAAGCATTTTTTGAGTGGATATCCTTTTCAAATGAATTATTAATTTATAATAATATATACATTTCAGGGGTGTTTTTACCTCTGATGTACAAGCTTCACTTCACACACTACCAGTTTCCATTATTACATTGATACCCTCTACCCTTCCCACCTACATTCTTGCCACTTTCTCTTTGGTAACCACTGTGGTTACCAAATGTATTAAAGATCTAGATATAAGACTTCCAAAATAATATAGAAGAAAATACTGATGTTGTGTTCCTTGACATCAATTATAAGGATGTCTTTGGAGAGGAACTGGATCACGAAGATGTGGTACATACACAACGGAATATTACTCAGCAATCAAAAAAAATAAATGCATGCAGTTTGCACCAACATGGATGGAGCTAGAAGGGATCATGCTCAGCGAAATAAGCCAGAAAGAAAAAGAAAAATACCGGATGGTATCACTCATAGCAGGAATTTAGAAAACCTAAATAAAAGACCAGGAAAAAGACTAATCAATGCAAAGTAATAATCAAAATCAACAAGCAACTATAAACCAGAAACACACTATGGGTCGGGGGGGATCAGGGAGAGGCAGGGAGAGGAAAAACTAGAGTCAACATAAGGGGGGGGGTGCAATTGTGTGGGGAATATAACCAAAATAAAAATGCATACATTGTACAAAGATGAAAAATAATGTAAGAATTATATAAAATAAAATATTAAAAAATTAAATAAAAACTGATGATTCTGAAAAATGAAAAAACAAAACAAAACTATGCTCTACAATGTTAGTGGCAACGCTATTTGTAATATCTAGAAAATGGAAATCCAAGTGCCCACTGATAGAGAATTGCATAAAGATGTGGTATATACATCCATATTGTGGAATACTCTGTTATAAATTGGAAATGAAGTTCCAGGGAATTATGTGTAGTAAAGCAAACCAGAAACAAAGTCATATAATGGACAATTATGTAGTGTATGATTCCATGAGACAACATACTTTGAAAAACTTTGACATTAATACAATGAGTTTCCTGAGGCTTAGGAAAATGGTTCATGGGATTAAAAAAAAATTGAAAAAAATCTTTAAAAAATAAACCAGTATGAACAAAAACTCAATCAGAGACAGTCTTAGTGCAAATACTTATTGAGTCCTATTTTTCAGTTTGGTGTGGACTTTTGTTCATGTCCATATACATCAAAATTGTGGCACATTTTAGGTGAGAGTCTCTCAAGTGTGATAATACCTTGAATGGTCATCAGTAACTAGGTATAACTATATTTTCGTAAGCTACTTCCAAGTCATAGAATCAAGGACTTTCAAAGCTGGTGGGGGATTAATCTGCTCCAGTGTTTTGTAGATTTGAACCTGTCATTCCCCCTCCTCCATAAACGTAAAAAAAAAAATTCAACAAGATGGAATTTCATGCACAAGATGAAGCTAGTTGATAAAGGACCAGCATACGGTTTTGCACCATTAAGTAATTTTCCTGCAATACCGGCCCAGGGAGAAGTGAAAGTGAGAATGTCATGACAAAGACCAGGCCTACAGGCAGGAGATAGAATTTTGGGTTAAAGTAGCAATAATCCCAAGCTCTCAAATAAAACAACTTACCAGATTTCAAATGTTTGTAGGCAATTACAAGAAAATATGTTTTATTATGAACTCCTACGGGACATTAGAAGCTCTGTCCATCTCACTACTGATAGCCCAAGAGTCGTGGCTTATCCTGGACAGAGCCTGGCCTGGGAGTACTGGCGGGGTGTTTGCCACCCCAAGATTCAGGAAAAGATCTTTTAAGTAATGCACTGCAGCCATAAATGAAGCAGGCCCTGTACGACAGGAGCTTTGGGAGATTGCAAACTATCATTCCAGTCTGTCACTGGGTCTCCCTCTCTACTCCTCCAACTTGCCTCCCTCTGCAGCTCTGGCACATGAAATATCAAAACAGACAGGTGGAAGTGGAACTGAATCTATATGTTGTTTTAGAAATAGTTTTAGATAGGTCCTTCCCTGGTGGCGCAGGCAGTTGAGCTCCGTGCTGTGAAGCTGTCCATGGCCTCTGCAGCGCTGGTTAGATCCCGGCCAGCTGGTGAGATATGTTAGATCATGGCCAGCTTGTGAGATAACCACAGACCTCTCCTGTCTCGCCTGCTGCTCCCCTCAGCAGTCTGCCTGTTCTGTTCCCTGCTCTGTCTCTGGTGAATCTTTTCACCCTCTGGTACATCTGGCCTGTACCCCAGTTCTTGTATAAATAAATAAATCTTAAAAAAAAAAAAGAAATAGTTTTATATAGTTGCTATTTCTGTTCATTTTATCTTCTCAGATACCATTTAAAATGGATACCATCCTCAGATGATTTCCATCAGCACAGAGATCCTTGTGCAGAGTTGGGGTGTTTCCCAAAAGTGAAGCTTGGCCCATTATTGAGGTGCCCTTCCCAAGTTGGAGAGGTCTGCCCTCTGCATCCACGGCACATTCATCCTGAGGGGCTGGGCTTTCATTTTACTGACATGAGAACACTTGAAGATGAGGATGCGACGGTGGTCCTATGTTGGACACAGGAGTGTTCATGGAGAGAACCAGAGTTAATACCAGTCATTAAAAAAACAAAAAACAAACCCAAAGCTTCTGTCATTTCTGAATAGGAAGGAGGATAATACCCAAGGAAATTTTACCCTAGTAAAGTTGGAGATGTACTGGAAGCCTCAAAAAATTAGTTCACTTAGCTCAGGTGGCCAAATATCCAGAAGGTGTGTAGTTCCCTGGGATATGTGGTGGATTCCCTGCTGTTCCTGTTCCTGCTGCTGTTGTTACTGGATCTCTAGAGTTCACATAGCACAACCTCATACATAGGGTCTCACTTGAAAAGAAGGGGTAGAGAAAAATGAGATGAGAAGATTTGGGCATTTCTAGGTAATGAGTGGATTACAATGAGCTACAATGTCAGGGCAGAGCCTGTAGCCACAGCCCTCTACTCTCAGGTGAATGTCAGGGATGGAAGTGGAATCTAAAGTCAGCAAAGTCAGGGATATCGTCTCCCATCCCCTGTCCCAGGTGAGTACCTTGGAACTCATTCTTTTCCATGAGTCTTCTTTCACTTTGGGAAAGGGTTACAACTTCCTTTTCTACTAAAAAATTGAACTAGAGAGGAGGGTAAGTCTTTTCCAGGTTTTTGTGCAAATTTATTGTGTCACTTCAGCAAAGTCACTCTACAACCTTGGGTTCAGGTATTTCTTTCAAGGAATAATAAAGCAGACATCAGAGAAGTTTTACAGGTGAGACGTAAAATGATAGGAATCCATTTGAGGGCCAGAGACAGAGTGCCAGGAGGTGAGGGTCTCTTGTCTAATTTCCATCTCCCACAAACTCTCTCCTCTCCTCCACTCTCTTCTGCAGAGTGGACTCTGGTTATTCCTGGATATGACAGAGGTGCGAGTTACATACTACCCAATACTGCCCTCAGTTTTATCTCAGCAGGGAGTCTGCAAAATAAACAATTTTCACTTCAGTAATATTCAAATATTTCCCCCCTCATGCATTCTCCGATACAATGTGTTGTCTGATTTACAAAGTAAAGTTTCCCCACATTCATTATGTTATAGGGTATTTTCACAGTGTGACTTCTGATGATAACTGAATGCAATTTCTGCCTGAAAACTTTTCATAGTTACCACATTTACAGGGTTTCTTCCATTCTGACTTCACTAATGTATTCCAAGGCTTGATAGCTGGTTGTTAGTTTTCACACATTACAAAGTTTTTCTACTGTATGAATTCTCTGTTGTATATGGAGATACCATTTTTCACTGAAGGTTTTCACACATTCATCACATTTATAGGGTTTCTCCCCTGTGTGTATTCTCTGATGATCTCAAAGGGTTAACCTTAAGCTGAGTTTCATCACATTTATGTTTTCTCCCCTGTACGACTTCTCTGACATTCACTGAGGTATGATTTCCTGAGGAATTTTTTTAAGATACATTTATTTATGCATACAAGAACTGGGGTACAGGCCAGAGGTGCAGGGGGTAAGAGGATTCACCAGGCACAGAGTGGAGAACAGAACAGGCATATTGACTGAAATACACTGCTGAGGGGAGCAGCGGATGGGACAGGAGAGGTCTGCTGCGCCATGTCGTTCACAGTGCTGTGCTTAACCCCTTGTGCCACCAGAGAGGCCCACCAGAGGCAAGTTTTTGCACATTTATCACTTATAGGGGCTTTCCCCTCTATGACTTATATGATGGATTCTTAGATATGGTATGGAGGTGACAGCTCTCTCACACTCATTCCTCTGTGAATATTCTGATGTACATAGAGGTGTTTGTTGTGACTACACGTTTTCTGGCATTCATCACATTCATAGGATTCCTCCCCATGTGAATTTTCTGATGTCTTTCAAGGTTTGACTTCTAGCTTCATATTTGCCCATATGCATCACATTGAAAGAGTTTCTTGCCTATGTGACTTCTGAGAAGTAGGCTAAGATAGGAGATGGAGGTGAATGCTCTCCCTCATTCATCATATTCGTAGGGTTTCTCCCCTGTGTGAGGGGTTTAGGAACACCTTAATGTGACTTCTGCCTGAAATGTTCCCCCATTCAATTATATTTATAGGGCTTCTTCCTCATGTGTGTTCTTTGATGTACTACTAGTACATTTACTGCCAGATTCAAGTGAAATAACTTTCCCACATTCATTACATTCATAGTTTTCTCACCTATGTGAATTTTTTGATTTAATATAGGTCCAACTTCCTAGAGAAGGATTTTTGACTCTTATTACAATTATAGTGTTTTTGCTTTCTGGGAGTTCTCTGATGTATCTTGAAGGCTGACCAAGAACTTAAAATTATACTATATGTATTATTATATCAAGGTGTCACCATTGTGTGATTTCTCTGATTTGCTGTAATGGGTAAGTTGCGGCTGAAGTTATTTTCCACATTCAAGAAGTTTCATTCCTGTGAATTCTGTGATATTCTCTGATATATGGCATTTGATCCAAAGTTTTCTCTCCTGAATCAGTTCTCTGAACTAGGGTAACACCATTGAAATTGCTCTTTATTTTATTAAATTCAATTTCCTTAAATTCAGGGTGACTTTCTCTGAGTGAATACTTGGGAAGGTAGTAAAGATTGACTTATTACATCAGTTTTTTTCCAAATTGATAGTAACGTGTTTTGGGGGTACTCATACATAATGAAAGCTGACTTATCAAGAAAAGTATTAATCTGTTATAGTTACAACACTGCCCCAAGTCTAAAGCAAATTACGGTTGCGATAAAAAGATTTCACTCCACTGGTGAAATGAGATGCATTAAATACATCAGCCTTCTCTTTGAATAATTGTGGGACACGTGTAGGGATTCACCTATGAATGTTGGACAGATTTATTCCTATTATTTATCCCTATTATTTATTCATTTTCAGTGCAATTTTCAATGTAATTGTTTTCTTAATTTCCCAATAATCAAGTATTAAAATCATAATTTTTCATACTAAACTCTACTGTTTAATTTAGCTTCCCGGAGACTCTAACACAGTAGAAGCAATTAGCTGAATGTCTTATTTACCAAGAAACAGTTACATTGTAACATCTCATCTATAGTAATGGGAGTAAGAGAAAACTAGGAAAGAGTAGCTGAACACTTATAAAGGCCATTTCTTCACAGTACGTCATTGTCATTTATAACCATGAATTTTTGAGCAGGAAAAAATTATATTCAGCAATGTGTTTATATCTATCCAATAATTATAGACAGATAATTTGACTCTAAAGAGTTTAGTTTTAGGGTCTCTCTGGTGGTGCAGGTCTCTCTGTGCAGGAGCACAGTGCTGTCTGCAGCCTCTGCAGTGTCAGTTCGATCCCTGCCGGCCTCGGAGCAACCTACGTGGTGAGCAGGCCTCTCCGGTCTCGCCCGCTGCTCCCCTCAGCAATGTGTTTTGTCAGTCTGTCTGTTCTGTTCCTCGCTCTGTCTCTGGTGAATCCTCTCACCCTACTGTACATCTGGCCTGTACCCCGGCTCTTGTATAAATAAAATATATCTTTAAAAAAATAGTTTAGTTTTAGTATTGAAATAATACATCTGTGGTGCATCATAGATGGTTTCACTGGAATATTTTACCAAATGCTTAGGGAAGAATTATGACTAATTCAGTAACTTTTATTTCAGAAAAAACTAGTACCCCAAACCAGAGAAAGGCAGTGTAAGACATGAAGACTACAAGTCAATTTAATGCATAAATATAGAAAAAATATGCACCATGACCAAGTGGGCTTTATTCCAGGAATGCAAAGCATTATTTGAAATTATCTATTGATGTTATACACTGTAGTATTAGGCTAAAAATTATATGACTATATCAGCTGATGGAGAACTCACATTTGACAACACAGCATCTATTCATAATAAAAGCTTTTCTTAATAAAATAGGAAAAAGGTGGACATTTCCTTAAATTGATAAACATCATTCAAGAAAATCTACAGGTAACATATTTAATGAGGGAAGATTTAATGCTTCCCTCTAAGATTGGAATAAGGCAATCTTGTCTATTCTTGTCACTCTTACTCAATATAAATACTGCAAGTTCTAGTCATATAATAAAGTAAGAAAAGGAAACATAAGGCATATTGATCAAAGAGAAAGAAATAAAACTGTTGCTATCCCAAGGGAACATCATTGTTCATTTTTGTACAGTACTTGATTTCTCCCCTCAGGTATAGTCCCCATAAGTCTCCTACCACCGCATCACCTGTGAATCATTGTCATGGTCCCTTGTGCTCGTCTCTCCTCTGTTTTGACCCCTCTCCATCCCACCCCCCATGCTGTAAACCTCAGGTCTATAGTTGCCTGCAAGTTTTGTCTTTTTTTTTTTTTTACCCTTTATTCAGTTTCCCTGTATTCCTCCTATCAGTGATATCATGCCATATTTTACTTTTTCCTTCTGACTTATTTGACTGAACAAAATCCCTTCCAACTCCATCCATGTTGCTTTGAATGGCATGAGTTTCTCTATTTTGATTACTTGTGTATATTTTGATCTATTGTGTTTATATACCACATCTTTTTTAAATGTATTCCCCAGTATTTTATTATTTTTGATGCTAATTTCTTTTTTATTTATTTTTATATTCCCATACAATTGCAACCCCGATTTTGACCCCAATCCCTCCTTTCCCCACCCCCTCTCCCCAAGAGTATCTCTGGTTCATAGTTGTTTGTTGATTTTTATTTTTTTCTTTCTTATGTTTTTTCTTTCTTTCTTATATTCTTTTTCTTGGTCCCTTATTTAGGTTTTCTAGATTCCTGCTATGAGTGAGATCATCCGGAATTTTTCTTTTTCTTTCTGGCTTATTTCGCTGAGCATGATCCCTTCCAGCTCCATCCATGTTGTTGCAAATTGCATGTGTTTATCTTTTTTGAATGCTGAGTAATATTCCATTGTATACCACATCTTTTTGATCCATTCTTCTGTTGTGGGGCATTTAAGTTGTCTCCATATCTTAGTTATAGTAAACAGTGCTGCAATAAACATTGGAGTGCAGCTTTCCTTTTGAATTAATGTTTTTGTGTCATTTGGGTAGATTCCTAGGAGTAGAATTCAGAGTCATATGGTAGATACATTTGTAGTAGTTCGCATTCCCAAGGGATCTGTCTTGATGGAAATCATGAAGATGGTAGCCATCTTGGATGGTTGATAAGATAAAATGGACAGGGCCTCCCCAGTTGTGCAGTGTTTTGAGCGCAGCACTGTGAAGCTGTTGGTAGCCCTCTCCTGTCTTGCCTGCTGCTCCCCTCAGCAGTGCTTTCAGTCTGTCTCCCTGTTCTGCTCCCTGCTCTGTCTCTGGTGAATCCTCTCACCCTCCCATGCCTTTGCCCTGTACCCCAGCTCTTGTATAAATAAAATAAATCTTTAAAAAAAAAGATAAAATGGACAGAAATATCAAGGATCTAGAACTATTTCTGACACATGGTAAATGTTCAGTAAGTGAATACCATTGCCACCTGTCTTTGCTTTTGATGTTTCAAGCTCAGATCTGAAGAGGGAGGCAGGTGGGAAGAATGGGTAGGGAGACACGGTGGCAGGCACACTGGGTTGTGAACACCCTCCTCAGGCTCCAGTTTTGCAAGGTTTGCTTCATCAAAACCTACAGTGCATTACTTGGAAGAGGAGGGTATTTTCCTGGGTATAGGGCTGGTGGCTGGCTGCTCCTCTCAACACTTCCAGGCCTGGGCCCGTGGTTGAGTAGGTTTAGAATCTTAACATCCCAGATGTGAGATGTGCAAAGAGTAGAATTTCCTAGATAAGTTACCAATATATGTATATATAATATGTTTGTGTGTGCATTAGTACCTTCATGCTAAGGTATTGAAGATTCTCTGGCCCACTGCCCAGAAGACCAGCTCTGACAAGTGCTACCTTCTCATTTTTATTTTTCCCTGGACCTGTATCATGGCAGGAAAATTGTTCTATAATGTAAAAACGGATGTTGGAGATTTACTGAACTGACTTTATCTTGTGCTGGAGCCTTCATCTCACTGCACATTTTACATTTGAAAAATATGTGCTGGCACGCAGAAACTGGTTCCCTGCCTAGCACAAACTTCTCTCTGAACTGTAAAAAGATAAAATTTCCCCCTTTGCCCTGGCAACCAAGACTATTTTGACTAGAATTAATGAACTGTAAGAAGTATAATCTATAACCGGCCCTATTTCTTGGTAAACATTTTAAATTCTGTCATCCCCCTCATCTTTTCCCTTTAAATCTTCCTTAATCAGAGAACTGGTTGAACCAGACACAATTTAGGTTGATATATGAGAACTATTTTTTTCCCATTTAGTACTGCCCTTCTCCACTTTTAATTATTCCCATTTCACATTGTTTCTAAGCGATAACTCTATGTCCCTTAAATTCTTTATGCAGCTTTGAATTTGAAAGGAACATTGATATCCTCCTGTTTTTAGTTTCCTCAATGTAACATTTATCCAGGTTTGATTTGTCTCATTGCTCCTCCTGAAAATGTGAAATAAACTTGCAAGGATTTAGTTTCAATTTTAAGTACTTCACTGTGCATCTTTCCAAAGCCAGCACATTTTCGTGTGTGATTTCAACATTATTTTACAATTAAGGAGACCCCACAGCATATTCAAGTTTCCCCAATTGTCTTTAACGCCTTTGACAGTTGTTATTGATTCCAGGGGAATTGGATGGAGGATGACACAGTCATTCCGCGGTAAACTTCAAGGGTGACCCCTAAACCTGCGGGTCGCGACACAACCCGAGCAGAGGTCAAGGACAACAAATCGCAATCACAACAGCGGAAACGCTGTGACGCAGCGCCGGGAGCGGAGCGGGCCTCCTCGGGAAACGTAGTTTGCTTGACGCTGGCTCGCGGCGCAGCGCCCTGGGTCGCCTGGGCCCTATCTGCGCATGCGCCGCCCCGGCCCCGCCCCCGGGCTCGCGAGTCGCGGGGGCGCGAGGAGAGGGGCTGCGGGAGCCGCTGCTCGGCGTGAGGACGGTCGGTGCATCTGCGGTGACGGGGCGTCTGTGTGTCCTGAGGAACAGCGTGGAGTGGGGGGCTTGTGCCCGGGGACGGGGCGCAGGAAGTTCGTCATCCTCCGGGCGGGACTCGAACTTGGGAACGTGTCTCTGGGTGGGTGGCCAAAGCCGGAGCCTCTGCTCCCCCCTGCGAGGAGGACGGGGCGGGCTGTGGCGGTGGGTCCCGGGCGCGGGGCCACGTGGCAGAGCCCGCGGGCGGGGCAGGCCGGGTAAGTTGTTTTGTAACGGGTAGGGGAGCGTGCCAGAAAACGAGGCAATGGGTTTCTTTTAGAGTCCGAACTCTGGAGCCAGAGAGACGGGTGAGTTCGGACTCTGCCCACACCAGTCAGGCACGATGGGAGTGACCCAAACTAGAGTCAGGGTCATAGATTAAAGGAAAAAAAATCATAGTGCCGCAGGACAAGGGAGCGGGAAAGGGCTTCTCCAGATGGACAACAGTCTAAACACAGGGAGAAGTTGGGAGTGAACCCAGCCAGGCAGCAGCTCCTCTGGGAAGGGGTGGGGCGGCCTGAGGGGCCCTGCCTCCAAGCCTGGGAAAGGGCTTTTATGACCTTTCAAAATTGAATAGAGGACTCCACACACCCTGGTGAGGACAGGCATGGAGTCAGCCTTTATTGATTAGCGTAAGAGCAAGAAATCAGGACTCTGGGGAAACATTTCTGGGCATGAGTGACACCCTCAGGTGCCAGAGCTAGGGGTCTACCTAGGTTTAGGGCTGGGATTTGAGAACAAAGGTTCTAAACATTATTGGCGGAGAAGGCAGGTCCATTTGTCCATCCAGGTGTGGTCCATTATTTTTTTAAAAAGATTTATTTATGCATACAAGAACTGGGTACACTATGGGAACTCAACCTGAGGGGGTGGGGGAAGTAAATATTGTTTAAAAAAATTAAAAATTAAAAAATTAAAAAAAAGAACTGGGGTACAGGCCAGAGGGGTGTGTGTGTGTATGGGGGGGGGTTGAGAGGATTCACCAGAGGCAGAATGGGGAACTGAACAGGCGGATCTACTGAAACCACTGCTGAGGGGAGCAGTGGGCAAGCAGGACAGGTCTGCTGTGCCATGTGGGTATCTCTCTGGACGGGGATCAAACGTGCTGCAGTGGCTGTGATAGCTTCATAGGTTGTGTCTTAACGCCTCGCGCCACTAGGGAGGCCCAGTTGTGGTCCATTATTGCTAATTGCGAGTGCCGATCAGCTACAGCTTGGTGGTTGTGCAGGGCTGGGTGAACATCTCATGGAGGCTGGCTTACCCGCAGCTCGTTTGAATGCGTCTGGTCTCAGGGTTTGAAACTACTTTTTTCTGTAGTTGTAAACTTGGTAAGCTATAAAAAGATGGCTTAGGAATGCACAGGCTGGGGAAAGGCTGGTAATGAAAGCAGTGGGTCAAGGAAATTTATGGCATCTGTACAATTTATGGCATATTGTACAACTTGTTTACCTGCCTGTGCGAAGAGCAAAGTTCTGTTCTTGAGTCTCGCCTTGTCCTTGTTCAGGATGGGTCCTTTCCTATCTCAATAGGAATATATTTGCAGATTTGGTGGACTTTAACAAGGTGTTCAGGGGCTAGCAAATCAAAAGTTGCTCAAAGGACCTGAAAGGTTTTTTATAGAGGGGTGTAGCAAGGAGATTATTAGCTTTAAAGAGAAGGATTGCTTTGGGCAAGGTTATCTTCATTTAAGGTAAGGGGATGGTGTAGGGTAAGTAATTACTTACTTCAGCCCTCCCACATTAGCATTAGTGATGGATCCCTGCGGTCTTAAATGCATGTCTGATGGCAGGCACTTGGAGTGGGGTGTGGCCATAGGTACACCTAGAATGAGACTGGGCTTATAAGGGTGGCATCATGGAGAACTAGCAGAATGAAAGAGAGGCAGAAAAGAGAGAATGAGACCTTGAGAGAACCCCAGAAAGCCCAGAAAAGAGTGAAGATTTGCTCAGGGGTGGGAGGCCTGCCAGCCTCTCGGCAACCCCCCCTCACCCCCCTCCTGCCTGCATGTACTTGATAACATCTCAATAAAAGCCTGAAAAGCTACCGGGGGGCTCCAGAACTCTCCTTTACCCATCTGCTCGGATCATAGAGATCCTGCTCTGTGCCCTCCTGCCACTACAGATGGGAAGTTTATCATATGGAGGACCTCACTAGTGCGGACAAGGAAATTCCAGAGGGAATGGGAATTGAAATTAAGTAAGATTTTAAATTGTAGTTTGAAGAGGTGGGCCTTAGCAGAAGTGACTGCATTTTGAGCTTATTGTCTTTTTAAAATAATACTTTTGAAAATAATAGTATTGTTCTGAGAGATGAGTTATTACACTTAAACGAAATAACCCACTGAGTAATGTGTCCTATTCATGGTGGGGGCCGGGATTGGGGGGGAGGGTAGTGTTGTAACCTCATAGTCACTTAACAAGGGTATTACCGTGGGAGGTGGAGAGGGAGAGCAACTGAACTTAGGTTTGTTGAATATGTGCTCGGGTCAAAGCTAGCTATGAGAAAACTCCCATTTAAGGGTAGGGATATTTTCAGTCTCAGGCTTCATCTGACTGTCACACCTCTTAACCAGTATTACAGCCTTCACAAAATTGAGTACATAGACCTGTCCCTGAATATCCAGAGATAATATATTGGAAGGGGGTGTGAATGCAGTCTCATCACAGTCAAATATAATAATGGAATTTCTGGTGTCTCCTCTGAATCTATGCATCAGGCAGAAGCTCCTAGTTCCTACTGAGCTGGCAGGCTGTGTTTTAAGTATGGAATTAGAATGCCTTCCAGGAGAGTCAGGGTTGTGTTCCTAAAGTGAATTTGATTTCCAGACTCAGATTGCAAGAAAACAAATTTACTTTAGGACAAACCAGTTCATGTGATGTTGGAATCAAGAGGTATCTAGATATGGGAACTTACCTGGAAGAAAACATCCCTGTACTTTCCTCACTAGAGCTTCAGAGCAGAGAAAAAGCACAGAGAGGAGCAGTGCCTCAGTTTGCATGGTCAGGGCAGTTCATGATCTCCCCTGTCCAGATTTGGAGATGTTGCCACATCTAGAAGTGGCCACACTGTGTGACTTGAGATTTGGGCCAACCCTGGGAAGAGGGAGTGAGATAGGGTGGACCTAGGGTGTGTTGCCCAGGAAAGGCTATTTTTGGGAGAGCTGGTGAGGGTGAGGTGTGGGGGAGGGATAACTAGCTAGGGGTAGAATTCTTTCACATTTGCTAAAAGCACCCCTGATCCCTGCATTCTTCACTCTTTACAGATGCTGTGGTGCTCTCAACATGCCCATGACGTGACATTACTGAATTATCCTGACCTCACAGTATCTCAAAATGTTGACTCACGAAGGGTTTCCATAGTTATCCACTTCTGATTCATGAAAGCGTTAAAGAAAATGGACCTTAAAGATTCAGTGTCTTGTGAGTTTGAAACCCAGTTATTGACAGAGCCAGGAGGGAAGCACAGTGCTGTTGACTTTCTCCCAGGTAAATCACCTAAAGCATCTTAGGAAAATGACCTCTTGAAAAACTAACCCAGTAAAAACTAATGAAATGTTCTTGCCTTAAAGCAGTCCATCTTCCTTTTATTAGACTTTCTGTGACCTTTTCTCCATCGAGAGAAGAGTTATTAATAGCAAAATAGTTAACTGCTGCAACCTGAGGATTTTACTGTGTTAATAATTCCGTCTTGTGTTAGTTCTATTAAATGTTCAGGAAAACAACTAAATTATTTAATTGGAGAAAAGTTTATATTTAGTCCATGAAAAGCTTTTGGTTTTGGTGTACATGACCATTTCTGAGTCTTATGCAACTAGGTGGTGCAATGGGTTCCTTCTCAGGCCTCCCAGCTGAAAGTTCCAGTTCTTTCCACTCTCCCCAGAGCAATAGAATGGACATGTCCCAGGTGAGCTGTTTATTCATTCCCTACTTTGTACTGTCATGGGATTATAAGGTTTATAAAAGTCTGTACAATAAATGGGAGAGGATAGGCAGAAATAAAGACAGTCTTGAGGAAATACAGGGTTTTGTTTTTTTTTTTTAAAGATTTATTTATTTATTTATACAAGCACTGGGTTCAGTCAGAAGCGCGGGAGGGTGAGAGAATTCACCAGAGCCAGAGTGGGGAGCACAGTAGGCAGACTGACGAAGTACACTGCTGAGGGAAGCAGCAGGTGCGGCAGAAGAGGTCCTCGTACCATGATGGGACCCTCGCCAGTGGCCGGGGATCGAACTGGCACTGCAGAGGCTGCGGGCAGCTTGCAACCCAGCACTCAACCGCTGCACCACCAGGGAGGCCCGGAAATACAGAGTTTTAACATTAGCTATGATGCTCACTGTTGGCTCTTGGTAGTAATCTTTGTTGATGAATATATATTCTCTCCACTTAGCAGTTTGTTTAGATTTCAGTGTAATCATGAATGTGCTTTGAACTCTATTGATTATTTTTCTGTATGTAGTAAAGACATAATTTCTTTCATCTGTAAGTCTTTTGAATAGCATAGTGGATTTTCAAATATTCATTTATTGTTGATATCCTGTATGCACTCTACCTTCTTTTTTTTTTTTTTTTTTTTGAGTTTTTTTTTTTTTTTTTTTTATAGAGGCATGTTTTTATTTATTTATTTGTTTGTTCGTTTGTTTTGTTTGTACATGCACTGGGTACAGTCAGAAGCGCGGGAGGGTGAGAGAATTCACCAGAGCCAGAGCGGGGAGCAGAGCAGGCAGAAGGACTGAGGTACACTGCTGAGGGGAGCAGCGGGCGGCAGGAGAGGTCTGCACGCCATGTGGGACCCTCCTCCGGTGGCCGGGGAGCAGCCGGGAATCGAACCGGCGCCGCAGAGGCAGCGGGCAGCCTCGCAACCCAGCGCTCAACCGCTGCGCCACCGGGGAGGCCCTGCACTCTACCTTCTAATGCATTTCTCTGTGTCTGTGTTGGCTGGGCTCTTTCTGCTAGTTTTGTAATTACAGGTCTGTGATCATGTTGAGTTAATTTTGTATTTATGGTGCAAGTCAGAGATCAAGACAATTTGTTAGTTTTGCTTGGTAATTTCAAGCACATTTTAAAAAAAGAATATACATTCCTCATGGAATTGCATTGATAACGCTCTTCAAAATCATTTTACCTTATATTCTTTGTGGTTCTATTTCTGGGTCAGTATTTCATCTGTTGAGCTGTGTCAGTCCTTTATTTTCATTTTTTATTTTTTAAAGATTTATTTATTTATGCATACAAGAGCTGGGGTGCAGGCCAGAGGTGCAGGGGGGCGAGAGGATTCACCAGAGACAGAGTGGGGAGCAGAGCAGGCAGATTGACTGAAATACACTGTTGAGAGGTCTGCGCGCCATTTGGGTCACCTCCCTGCTTGGGGATTGCTTCATAGTGTGGATGCTTAATCCCTTGCGCCACCAGGGAGGCCCTGTGTCAGTCCTTTAGATAGTGCCATACTACACTGATTATTGTTGCTCTAGAATATATCTTGAAATCAATATCAATCTCCCAGTCTTATTTTTGGGCATAATGGCATTGTACTTGTTTTAAATGTTTTACTTCTTCATATAAGTTTTAGAATCTACTTTTCTGTCTTCAAAAAGTGATCTGGGGGCCTCCCTGGTGGTTGAGCACAGCGCTGTGGAGCTGTCCACAACTTCTGCAGTGCCGGTTCGATCCCTGCTGGCCTCAGAGCAACCCACGTGGCGAGCAGACCTCTCCTGTCTCGCCTGCTGCTCCCCTCAGGAGTGTACTTCGGTCAATCTGTCTGCTGTGTTCCCCACTCTGTCTCTCGTGAATCCTATCACGCCCCGCATCTCTGGCCTGTAACCTGGCTCTTGTATGCATAAATAAATAAAAACCTTTAAAAAAAAAAGTGATCTGATTTTGTGTGTGATTACAGTGATTCTCTACACCAATTTTAGACCTCCCTTTTGTTTTCCAAAATGTTATTAACCAGCAGGGCAGTGTCTAATTTCATTTATATGCTCAGAGATATTTTAAGTGCAAAGGAAAAACATCTGCCTTTTACCTTACTGTTGTTCTTCTAATTTCAGTGTGATAGTGATTTAGAAAACCCCTGTAGTCTTCCCTTCTGTATGTCTCCTTTACTACTCACACAGAGTACTTTACTTCAACACTTATGGTCCCTGACCATGTGGGTCTTTTCTGACAAGCAATTCTTTGTTATACTAGCAGGGTATCTTGCAATTTACCTCAGTTCTGACATTCTCTCTGGAATAGCATTAAATCCCACAGATTTAGTTCTCAGTCCCAAAAAACTGCTCCTGCCTCACTTCAAATGCCATTGCAAGTCCAATTGTCACCTATCTTCTGAAGTTCCTACCACAGGTTCCTTGGGTTTATTACCTTATTATAGTGGTCACAAAACTCAGGGAAACATGTTTACCAGTTGATGAAAGGATTCAGATGTAATGCCAGATGAAGATATCAGTAGATCAAGGTCTGGAGAGTCCTCAGTGCAGGATTCTGTTCCCATTGAGTTGGGGTGCCTCACCCTGCTGATATCTGCTGATATGTTGATGTACTCATTGTCTTAGAAGGTCTCTGAGCTCAGTAATTTGGGATTTTTTTTTTCAAATTTTCTTTTTTCTTTTTCTTTTTTTTTTTTTTTTTTTTTTTTTTTGTGGGACCCTCACGGGCAGCCAGGGAACAAACCGGTGCTGCAGAGCTGCAGACAGCCTCACAGCCCAGCGCTCAACTGCTGTGCCACCAGGGAAGGCCCTAGTAATTTGGGATTTTTTTTAAAGGAGTCATCACATAGGGTTGATTATTTATTACCTCTATTTCCAACCCCTCTCTCCTCTCTAGAGAATTTGGTCTAAAAGTTTTCAGCTTCTAATTGTGGGTTGACCTTTCTGGTGACCAGCCTCATCCAGGAACCCACATAGAATCCCCTCATTAGAACAAAAGATGCTCTTAGTGCTCTTTACAAGGGTTTTAGTATTCTGTGTCAGAACGGGGTGGCAAATATCCACACGTATGTATTTTCTATTGTCTCACTGTGCTGTTAGAATTTACCCAATTGCTTATGTAGCTTCTCTGTATACCGTTGTGCCAAAAAAATGATAAATTTTTTTCCTTTGTCTCATAGGGAGCAGGGGATCAGTTTTGCATTTTTTGTTTCCAGTGTTTTACTTTACTATATATCACTTTTTTTTTAAGTTTAATTTAATTTATAAAAATAAAATTAAAAAAAAACCAAACCCAAGAGTTCACCTCTCCATTCCCAACTTGTGGCAATACCAATCTGATCTCTGTATCTATGAGCTTATTTGTTTTGTTTCAAATTCCACATTTAAGAAAGACCATATGATTTTGTCTTTGTCTAACTTTTTTCATTTAGCACAAATGCCTTCAATGTTCTTAAATTATACTCTGCTGATCCACTGGATATGACTTTATTTGGTCTTCTTTCAGAGTGTTGCTTCTGAAAGACAGGTGTGCTCATGCTTACTACTGGGAATTGATGCCCATTTCCCCAACATAGCACTCCAAAAGGGTGTGTGTACCCTAAAGAGTACTCAGGAGAGTGCCTTGGAATATAGGAAAGGATTCTGCAAAGCCTACTTATAATAACTATCTAAAAAAGCAGGTGTTAATAGTTATCAGGAGTACATTCACTGACAATCTGTGTGTATAGACTGTCTATAAGCAGTGCAAATACTTTGGGCATTTATTTATATTTAATGATGTGTGTCTTTCCAATAGAGGGCACAATGATATGGTCAGAGTTGGCATCGTTTATAAAATTATGTTTTAAAATTCTCAATAGCAAACATGATAATAAATGATCTTCTAAATTATTTTCTATGTCACATTTCCTGAAGCCTTCAGACTGAATAGAAAATGTGCTTTACAGGCATCTGTATCATTCAAAGACGTGACTGTGGAGTTCACCCAGGATGAGTGGCAGTACATGGATCCTGCGCAGAGGGCCCTGTACAGAGATGTGATGCTGGAGAACTACAGCCACCTGGTCTCAGTGGGTGAGCAGCCCTTACCATGTGACTCTCTCTTAGAATGTAATTCTGTTTTCTCTCCTTATAATCTGAGTTACTTATATTATAGTGTGTTTCACACACAAAAAAGTAATTTTCTTGTATAATTTGGTAATTTGTATAATTTGTATAATTTGATAATTTGTATAATTTACTGCCTCCAAAATCATGCAAAATGAAATATGGCTGTCACCCCAAAAAATTTTTTTGCAGCTGTTTAGAGTCACTCCTCTTCCCATCCCTTTCCCTGGCTGCTTCAACCCCTGTGCTACTTCTAGTTGTAATAATTTTGCCTTTCAGAATTTTATGAATCTCATACAGTGTTTGCTCTTACTCTACTGGGGTTGTTTTTTTTTTTTTTTTTTTTTTTTTGTGGTAAATATCTAGATACATGCCTTTATTGGTCTTAAGGTAACTTGTACAAAACTGCCAGAAACTGCTAAAGTGGTTGTGTCCATTTGCATGCCATAGCAGTATATGGTAGTTTGAATTGCTCTATTTTCTCACCAACATTGTAAATTATATATTTTTAAAAAGTTTCTGTGGGTGTCTTTGCTTTTTCAGGGTTTTAATTTGTATTTTCCTAATGGCTAGAAAAGTTCATCTTTTGATGTGCTTTTTGGCCATTCTTATGTTTGAAATCTATTAAAATCTTTAGTGCATATTTATTTTTTTAAAGATTATTTATGCATACAAGAACTGGGGTACAGGCCAGAGTTGTGGGGGGTGAGAGGATTCACCAGAGACAGAGTGGGGAACAGAACAGGTATTTCAGTCGAGAAATACACTGCTGAGGGGAGCAGCAGGAGAGTCAGAAGAGGTCTGCTGCACCATGTGGATAGCTCCCTGCCCGGGGATTGAACTCGCTTCAGTGGCTGCGGCTAGCTTCATAGGTTTCATCTTAATCCCTTGAGCCACTAGGGAGACCCTTTAGTGCATATTTAATTAAAAATTTGTGTGTGTGTGTGTGTGTGTGTGTGAATGGGGGAGCATGTGTTTGTGGTCTTTATGAGTTGACTTTTTAATGTAATCTACATATCAGAGAATTATCAGATAGTTTGCTAATCTTTTCTGCCCATGTGCTACTTGTTCTTATTTCTCAATGTTGTCTTAGAAAAGCAGAGAGTTTTCTTTTTCTTTCTGGGACATGTTGTGTGTGTGTGTGTGTGTGTGTGTGTGTGTGTGTGTGTATAGAAGAACTGGGGGGTAGGCCAGAGGTGCAGGGGGTGAGAGGATTCACCAGAGACAGAGCGGGGAGCAGAACAGGCAGGTCTACTGAAATACACGCCTAAGGGGAGCAGTGGGTGAGACAGGAGAGCTCTACTGCGCCATGTGGGTTAGCATCCTGGCTAGGGATTGAAATCAGGCTGTAGTAGTGATAGCACTGAGACTTAACTCCTAGACCAAGACCACCAGGGAGACCCCCAAAAGCAGAGATTTTTCATGTTTTCTATTTAGTTTTTCTTTTATATTTCATGGTTCTTTATCTTTTTGAAGAAATGTCTAATTTCATGCTTGTCCAAAGCCACTAAAATCTCCACCTATGTTTTCTTGAAATTTTATAACTTTTTAATGTAGGTCTATGATTCATTGCCAGTTAATTTTTCCATAGGGTATAAAAAAGTGTGATTATTCTTTCATCTCTCCATCTAGTTATATTGACAGCTGTTGCTGAACCTATATATTCTGTATTTTTTAAGAGCATGTTTTTTAAACAAGCATGTTTAACTTACATTTAGGCATAGTAAGATATATATATATAAATAAATAATAATAGAATAATTATAATAGTATACTACAGAAAAATCATGATTGTTATCTCTGTATGAAAATAGTCTTAATTGTACTATACTCATTCTTGTGATGATTGAGATAATACAATGAAGAGTGATAGTTTTGATTTGCTATTTGCCACAGGTATTTAAATCACAGAGTGAAATTACACTAAAGATGAGGGAATACTGTATAACTGGGTAGGATTTAAAATCCATCTGCCTGTTTTTGTCTTTTAAAAGTTGTATGCAGATCATTTGTTGTAATGATATATAAGGGCTTAAGTCTTTTTATTCTTTTCCTTTCCTTTTTGTTTTTCTGTCCTTTTTGTCTTCCTGTGGGTTACTTCGGTATTTTTCAGAGCTCCATTTTGACCTGTCTATAGTGTTTTTGGGGGTGTCTCCAAATATCTTTTTTAGTGTTTTTTTCTAAAAACTTCATTTCATATAAATTATCATAGTTTGTTAGTATTAATATTTTATGATATCCTGTATTCCCATTTATAGGCTATTGCTTCATAAAGCCAAAAGTGATCTTCAAGTTGGAGCAAGGAAAGGATCCATGGTTATTAGAGGATGACTTTCTGAAGAGGAGTTATCCAGGTGAGGTTTGGCATACTGGCAGCAGGTAACCTGCAAAAACTAAGTTCAAAATGGGATCAGGGAGACATGGGCACCTTTGAAAGTTTAGAAATGAGTAAACCCAACATAACTGGGTGTGGAGTGTGTAATCTACAAGATACAGTGTGATCATTTTCAGTTTTTCATCTCTAGGTCTAGGCAACAGTGTTTATCATTTATACCCAACAAATCAACCAATCATTTAAATAATATCTAGTACAGAAACTAGCCTATCCTGGAAAAAGGAGAGAAAGAATTGTGTAACAAGATACAGTGCAATTATACTTAGAAATGTAGCCATGTAAATAATGAAATTTTAAAAATCTTTGTGCACCATGAAATAAAGCTGGAATAAATGGATATATCATGGTAAAAGATAGGGAGATTTTAAAAATTTTTAGCGTTCATTATTTTTATGTTATTTATGTTTGAAGATTTTTTTCTAACAGCTTTTAAAGATACATAACATTGGTAACTAGGATAAGATGGTGTTGATGTGTTTAATGACAGAATATAGGTCCCAGACATAGTTATATGCTTTAACAAAAGATGATTTGTGAACAGAGTGACAGTGCAGAAAGCTGCAGAGCCATTTTATGTAAACTGCTTTGGATCCCAGCTTTATTACCTAACCAGAAAAGTCCATTTTGGTTGGTATACAGACTGAATTACTTATTTAAGGCGAAATTAAATATAAGGAAATATAGGAGAGCATTTTTATTACTTTGTAATAATAAGAAATATTAATATATGAGAAAAGGCTTACAAACTCTACTCTTTGAAAAATTCAAAATGTCTTCACATTATAAAAAGCGTAGAGAAGCAGCATTGCAGTTGAATCTGTTTCTGGTGTGTGGGACCAAGACAGACCTAATAATCAGAGTGTAAGAAGTTTGATAGGTCTTTGTGGTAAAAGGTAGGCAACCCAGAATAAAAATGGGCGTAAAACTTAGTAAGGAACTTCCCCAGTGGAAATGCAAATGTTTAATGTGCACCTAACCTCATGGGTTTTCAAAGAATGCCAATGAAACTGAGTCATGCCACCACTGCATAGTCATTTATAAGTTGAAAGTGATCCACAGTCTGACATCAGCTGTTCACTTACAGCTGCAGAATTGAAAAGAATGCAATCATTTTATAAAAAAAAAAACAAACGTTTTTTGTATGAGCAATTTTAGGTTCAAATCCAAATTGGGGAGAAGGTACAGACATTTCCCATCTGTCTCTTCCTTCCACACAAGTGCAATCACTTTTGAAGTGGTTGAACGTTATCTAGTAAGGGTAAAGCTGTTCATACCCCGTGACCCTAGCTGTATACTTTTTTTTTAAAAAAGATTTATTTATTTATTTTATGCAAGAACTGGGGTATGGGTCAGAAGCGCGGGAGGGTGAGAGAATTCACCAGAGCCAGAGCGGGGAGCAGAACAGGCAGAGGGACCGAAGATACTGCTGAGGGGAGCAGCGGGTGAGGCAGGAGAGGTCTGCTACGCCATGTGGGGTTCTTCCTGGCTGGTGGGAAATCGAACCTGCGTTGCAGAGGCTGCGGACAGCTTCGCAGCGCGGTGCTCAACCACTGCACCACCAGGGAGGCCCTAGCTGTGTATACTTTTTAAAAAAAATCATATTTTACTCGTTACCATTTGTTTACAGCACTGCATAATTTAGGGGATACAGCTTCATACCTAGATACATGCATATGCCTCATTCTCCTACCAACAAAGTACTTGTCTTTTGCTTTCTGATTTATTTCACTTACACAGTGACTTCAAGTTCTCTCCATATTGTCACAGAATCACAGTTTCATCTTTTTAAGTGGTTGAATACTATTCTGTTGAGTATATATACCATGATTTCTCTATCCTTTGATAGGTTCAGATTGGTTCATGTCTTGGCTATAGTGAGTAACCCTGCTATAAACATTGGGGCTACAGATATCATCCTGTTAGTGTTTTCATCCTCACATAAATGCCCAGAGGTGTTATTGCTAGATCACAGTGGTGTTTTCATCTTTCCATATATTAGGAATCTTCATACTGTTTTCCAGACTGTACCAATTTACTTTTTCACCATTGGGGAATGAGAGTTGCTTTTTCTCTATATCCTTGCCATCACTTATTTCCAGTCTTTTTAATATAGGCCATTTTCACAGGTGTGAAGGAATATATGTCATTGTGGTTCAGTGTGCATTTCCCTTACAATTAAGTGATGAGCCTCTGGGCCATCTTTATGTGTTTAGAGAAATGTCTACTTAGCTTTTTTACCCATTTTTTGACTGGGTTTTTTTTGTTGTTGTTATTGAGGTCATATATATATATATATATATATATATATATATATATATATGAAATTAACCCCTTGTGGAACATGTGATGTGCAAAATATGAAAATAGCTTTTCATTTTGATATAGGCCCATTTTTTCTCTTGTTAAATTTTTTATTTTGTTTCCTTTGCTGTTGGAATTGAGTTCCCAAATATATCTGAGTCTTAAGTCCAGGAATATATTGTCTATGTTTTCTTCCATGTATTTTATGGTTTCAACTCTTATATCCAAGGTCTTTAATCCATTTTGCATTAACTTTTGTGTATGGAGTTAGATAATGATCTAGTTTCATTTCTTGCATATGGTTGCTCAAGTTTACCAACACCATTTCTTTTTTTTTTAATTAACTTATTTTATATATTTTTACATCGTTCTTCATTTTTTTACAATGTATGCTTTCTCATCTTGGTTATAGTCCCCGTGAAATTCCCACCACCAATTTACCTGTATATACCATCACCATAGTCCCTTGTGTTCTTCCTGCCCCTGTTTTGATCTTATTCCCTTCTCTCCACCCTCTTGAATGTCTCCAGTTTATAGTTGCTTGTTGATTTTGATGTTCACCTTATTATAATTACTTTTCCCCTCCCTGATCCCTTATTTGGATCCTCTACATTCTTCCTATAAGTGAAACCATCTAGTAGGTTTCTTTTTCTTTCTGGCTTATTTCACTGAGCATGATCCCTTCCAGCTCCATCCATTTTGCTGTGAATGGCATGAGTTTATACATTTTAATTGCTGAGTAATAGTCCATTGTGTATATATTCCACATCTTGATTCAGTCATCTTATTTTTGGGCATCTGAGTTGTTTCCATAGCTTACCTATTTAAATAGTGCTGCAAAAAACGTAGGGGTGCAGGTGTCCTTTTTTTTTTTTAAAGATTTATGCATACAAAACTGGGGTACAAGTCAGAGGTGTGGGGGTGAGAGGATTCACCAGAGACAGAATGGGAACAGAACAGGCAGATTGACTGAAATGCACTGCTGAGGGGAGCAGCGGGCGAGACAGGAGAGGTCTGCTGTGCCATGTGGGTAGCTCCTTGGCCGGCTGGGGATTGAACTCGAGCTGCAGAGATTGTGGATAGCTTCACAGTGCTGTGCCTAATTCCTTGCACCACCAGGGAGGCTCCTGTAGGTGTCCTTTTGAATGAATGTTTTTGTGTCCTTTGGGTAGATATCTAGGAATGGAATTGCTGAATCATATGGAAGCTCCATTTTTAGCAGTTTGAGGAACCACCACACAGCTTTCCATAGTGGTTGGACCAGTTTGCATTCCCACCAGCAGTGTAGGAGAGTTCCTTTTTCTCCACATCCTCGCCAACATTTGTTGTTGTTAGATTTTTTTGATATGTGCCATTCTCACTGGTGTAAGATGGTATCTCATTGTGGTTTTGATTTGCATTTCCCTGATAATGGGTGATATTGAACATTTTTTTCATATGCCCATTGGCCATTTGCATTTCCTCTTTGGAGAAGTGTCTTTTTAGCTCTTCTGCTCTTTTTTTTTTTAAGGTTTATTTATTTATTTATACAAGCACTGGGTACAGTCAGAAGCACGGGAGGTGAGAGAATTCACCGGAACCAGAGTGGGGAATACAACGGCAGACTGACGAAATACACTGCTGAGGGAGTAGCGGGCGGCAGCAGAGGTCTGCGCGCCATGTGGGACCCTCTCTGGTGGCCAGGGATCGAACCGTCGCTGCAGAGGCTGCGGGCAGCTTTGCAGCCCAGCGCTCAACTGCTGCACCGCCATGGGAGGACCTCTTCCCATTTTTTGACTGGGTTGTTTACTTTGTTTTTGTTGAATCTCCTCAGCTCTTTGTAGATCTTTGTGGTCAGTTCCTTATCATTAGTATTGTGTGCAAGAATTTTCTCCCAATCAGTGGAGTGTCTCTTTGTTTTGGTTAATGTCTCTTTTGCTGTACAGAAACTGTTTAATTTTCTGTAGTTCCAGCTGTTTATCCTTTCCTTCACTATCTGTGCTTTCGGTGATGTGTCTTTAAAGATGCTACTGAAGTGTATGTCATGTAGTGTTTTGCCTATTTTTTCTTCTATATATTTTATGGCTTCAGGTCTTATGTCTAGTTCTTTGTTCCGTTTTGAGTTGGTTTTTGTGCATGACCAATACTATTTCTTGAAGTGGGTTTTCTTTTATATGTATGGATTTATTTTGGGGCTCTTAATTCTATTTCAATGTGTTGTGTTTTTGTTTTAATACCAATCTGTTTTGATGACTATAGCTTTGGATTACAGTTATGGGGTACGATACTTCTATTTTCCTTCTCTTCTTTCAGTATTGCTTTGGCTATTTGTGGTCTTTTGTGGTTCCATACAAATTTTAGGACTGTTCTATTTGAAAAATGCCATTGGGGTTTTGATAGGTATTGTGTTGAATCTGTATATTGCTTTATGTAATAAGGCCATTTTAGCAATATTTATTCTTTCAGTCCATGAAAATGAAAGTGTCTCAAGGTTTTCAAGTATAGCTCTTTCACCTCCTTTGTCAAAGTTTACTCCCAGATATTTGACCCTTTTTGGTGTAATTGTTAATGGGATTGTTTTCTTAATCTCTCTGACCTCTAATTTGCTGTGTTTTTAGAAACATAACAGATTTTTTTTATATATATATTGACTTTGTATACTACTGCTGACTGTATTATTCCTAATAGTTCTTGATGGAGTCTTTAGCATTTTCTATGTATAGTGTCATCTGCAAGTTGTAATAATTTTCTTTTCCAATTTGAATTCCATTTACATCTTGTCTAATTGGTCTGGTTTGGACTTTCAATACTATGTTGAATAACAGTGGTGAAAGTGGACATCCTTGTGTTTTCCCTAATATTAAGGGAAACACTCTCAGATTTTTACTCCAGTATAATGTTAGCTGTGAATTTGTCATGTCACCTTTATTATGTTGAATATTATATTTATTCCCTTTATTATATATATTACCTTTATTCCCAATTTATTAACAATTTTTATCATAAATGGGTGTTGACTCTTGTTGAATGATATTTCAGTGTCTAATGATGCAGTACGTGGTTTCATATGTTGAGTCATTCTTGTGTACCTGGAAGGAACCTTATTTGGTCATGAGGTGTCATTCTCTTAATGTATTCCTAGATTAATGATGCCAAGATTTTGTTGAGGATTTTTGTATCTATATTCATCAGAGATACTGGTCTACAGTTTTTATTTTTTTGTGATGTATTTGTCTGGCTTTACGATTAGGGTAATGTCGGACTTGTATGTGTTTGGGATTGATCCCCCTTCGGTTCATTGAAAGAGTGGTTAGATGTTAGTGGTTAGATCTTTGAAAGTTTGGTGGAATTCACTAGTGAAGTCTTCTGGTCCTGGACTTTGTTTTTAGGGAGTCTTTGACCTCTGTTTTGATTTCTGTGCTTATGGTTGGTCTCCTCCACCTATCTGTTTCAGTCTTGGAAAATTGGATGATTCTAAAAATTTGTCCATTTCTTCTAGGTTATTTGTCCATTTCTTGTAGGTTTGTTTGTGTATAGCTAGTCATAGTAGCCTTTCTGTATTTCTGCAGTATTTTATCATTATTGTTTATTAGGGTTTTCTCTCTCTTTTTTTCAATCTTAGTGAGCCTAAGAGTTTATCAATTTTGTTTATCCTTTCCAAGAAGCAGCTCTTGGTTTCATTGTTCTTTTGTATTTCTACTCTAATTTTTATTTTCCTCCTTCTAGTAATTTTTGGTTCCATTTTTTCTTGTTTCTCTTGTTCCTTTGAGACTTTTCTTGTGTATTAATTTGGGCTTGTATCATTGTTGATATGAACTTGCCTCTTCATATTGATTTTACTGTACCCTGTAGCATCTGGTTAGTTTTCTCTTGCTTTTTGTTGGTTTCCATTTAATTCTTTATTTCTCCTTTGAGTTCTTCATAGACCTAAGAAGCTTTTTGTGTTTGAACTTTTGTGTTTGAACTTTTTCCAGTTTTCTTTTTGTGGTTGATTTCTAACTTTATACCCTAGGTGCTTCACGTAATTTTAGTCTTCATATATTCATTGGGGATTGTTTTGTGTCCCAGTATATGAACTTTTGTTGAGAATGTTCCATGTGCACTTGTTGAGAATGAGTTTATTTCTTTGGGGATGTTCACTTTTTTTTTTTTTTTAAAGATTTATTTATTTATGCAAACAAGAGCTGGGGTACAGGCCAGAGGTGTGGGGGATGAGAGGATTCAACAGAGACAGAGTGGGCAACAGAACAGGCAGATTGAAATACACTGCTGAGGGGAGCAGTGGGTGAGTCAGGAAAGGTCTGCTGCACCATGTGGGTATCTTCCTGCCCGGGGATCGAACTCGTGCTGCAGTGGCTATGGATAACTTCATAGGTTGTGTCTCAATCCCTTGCACCACCAGGGAGGCCCAGATGACTAGTCTTTTGATGAATTTCTCTTGTACCTTTTCCAAAAATCATTATGGCTGGGTTTGTGTTGCTCAGTTGTTTGGTTCTCCTTTCTATTTCTATTTCTCTGTCAACATTCTAAATAATTCATTTTTGGGCACCATAACAAGGAACAACATTGTCAATTATATAACAGGACATATGTATATAAGCCATTTTATTTAAAGATATATTAAGCTTCATAAGAAATTGTTAACTTTCCTGTTTATAGGTGACTTCCATCTTGATCTTTGAGAGAAGAGCCAGGAAAACCAAGATAATTACTCCTGTCATATTGTATTCATCACCAACAAAACATTAAGTACAGAGTGACAGAAAATTTCTAGAAAACCATTTAATTTGGGTACAGCATTTTTCCTTCATAAAAAATACCTTCTAGGGCCTCCCTGGTGGCACAGGGGGTTGAGATGCAGCCTATAGGGCTGTCCGCAGCCTCTGTGGTGTGGGTTCGATCCATGGCTGGCCTGGGAGCAACCCACGTATTGCAGTAGACCTCTCCTTACTCGTCTGCTGCTCCCCTCAGCAGTGTACTTCAGTCAGTCTGCCTTTTCTGTTCCCCACTCTGTCTCTGGTGTATCCTCTCACCCTCTGCACCTCTGTCCTGTACCCCAGCTCTTGTATGCATAAATAAATAAATCTTTAAAAAAAATACCTTCTAGGCCTCCCCGGTGGCGCAGTGGTCGAGCGCTGGGTTGCGAAGCTGCCCGCAGCCTCTGCAGCGCCGGTTCGATCCCCGGCTGCTCCCCGGCCACCGGAGGAGGGTCCCACATGGCGCGCAGACCTCTCCAGCCGCCCGCTGCTCCCCTCAGCAGTGTACTTCGGTCCTTCTGCCTGCTCTGCTCCCTGCTCTGGCTCTGGTGAATTCTCTCACCCTCCCGTGCTTCTGACTGTACCCAGTGCTTGTATAAATCAATAAATAAATCTTAAAAAAAAAAAAAAATACCTTCTAAATGTGACATTGTGGCACCTTCATATGTAGATCTATACCCATTGACCTCGCATAATAAGCGACTATTCAATTTAATGCAAATCATTACTTAAAAATGAGAAAACCAATGTTTGAGAGAAATCATTTGATTACAATCAAAGTTTGAACTCTTTTAGTTATGTCAAGAAACTTATTCCTCATTAGACTTTTCATACTTTTTTTTTTAAATCAAAATGCTGCTTTATTACAGGTGAAAGTATCTACACAAAAGAGATCTTACTGTGTAAATTTTGAAAACAACCTATGTGATGAATTACAAATTGACCCTTGTTGTCTCTCTCCAGGTATTCATACAGAACAGAGTCACTCTGAATTTAAGGAAGATGAATGTAGTAAAATTTGGAACAGTTTCAGTCAAGTTACTCAACTTCAGACAGCTGATACAAGAACGGAAAATTTTAATCAAAAAGCACATTTCAGAGAATATCAAAGGACTCATATAGGAGTGAAACGTCTTGAATGTGGGGAACTTCTGAGCCACAGTTCAGCCATTATAGTACAGCAGAAGACTCAGAAAATGGAGACATCTTGTGATAATAGTATATGTAGGGAACCTTTCAGTTTTCAGTCACCTTTGAATATGCATCAGAGAATTCATGAAAAGAGAAAACACTATGTACATAACCATCAAAAATCCTTGCTCATGAGGTCTTCTATCATTGTAGAGCAAAGAACTCAGACAGCTGAGAAAACCTATGAATGTAATGAATGTGGGAGAGACTTTTTTTGTAAGTCATACTTAGTAAGACATCAGAGAAAACATACAGGGGAAAAACCATATGAATGTAATGAATGTGGCAAGACTTTCAGCCGGAAGTCAAGTGTTGGAAAACATCAGACAACTCACACAGGGGAGAAACCATATAAATGTGGTGACTGTGGGAAAACTTTCAGGCGGAAGGCACACCTCACTGTACATCAGACAAACCACACGGGGAAGAAACCCTTTAAGTGTGATGAATGTGGTAAAACTTTTAGTTGGAAGTCAAACCTTAAAGAACATCAGAGATTTCACACAGGGGAGAAACCCTATAAATGTGATGAGTGTGGGAAAACTTTCAGCTGGAAGTCTAACCTTAGAGAACATCAAACAACTCACACAGGGGAGAAGCCCTATGAATGTAATGAATGTGGTAAAACTTTCAGCAATAAGTCGAACCTTGGAAAACATCAGAAAATTCATACAACAGAGAAACCTTATAAATGTGATAAATGTGGGAAGACTTTCACCCGGAAATCATACCTTGGACTGCATCAGCAAATTCACACAAGGGAGAAGCTATATCAGTGTAATGAATGTGGTCAAACTTTCAGCAATAAGTCAGACCTTGGAAAACATCAGAGAACTCACATGGTGGAGAAATCCTATAAATAATGTGCCCAAACATTTAGCTGCAAGTCAAGCCTTGAAATGCATCAGACAACATGAGAGAGGTGAATGTGGGAGAGTGTTTACCCATAAAGCACATCTTAATAAAACATTTGAGAAGTCACACATAGGAACCCTGTAAGTGATGAATGGGAGCATTTTCACCTACATGTAAAATTTGAGTTATATGAGAGAAAGCACAGATGAGAGAAACTGCAAATGAGTTGAATGTGGGTATGCTTTCCCTTTGGAAATAAGGCCTACTGGTGTATCAGAGAGCACCTGAGGAACAGATAATACATGGTGAATGTTTGCAATAGAACTAAATTTGTGAGATGTTTCATACAAGGCATTTAATGAATTACATTTTTAGCAATTGACCACACCTATGGAAACATCAGAAAATTTGAAAAGATTTTAAATCCTGTTAAATGTGTAGTGGATTTTCAGATATAAACTGCAAAAGGAGAGAAAAGATGTTTTTCTCTCTCTTAGATTCAGTATGTGGTACCCTGAAAATTAAATTAGTAGGATTAAGATTTTTTTCGTATGCACAGGAGGGATCATACACAAATGAAATGAAAACCCAAAGAAGAGGTCAGACCTGGAGGCTTATATGACATTTTCACAAAAGTGCAAAGGAATGATCAGACAAAGGCAAAGGGCTATGAGGTAGAGGTGATAGGCAAATATACAGGGAATGTGATGGAAAAGAAAGGTTATTTCAGTAAGATATGTTTACTCAGATTGCCAAAGAATTGTCTCTTCATCCTCCAATAGAAAATGGAATGTGGAACACCTTCCCAAGGAGATTGATATCCTGTCTTTAGGTAGATGGGGGAAGGGTGGAGAAAAGTTTCTGTCTACTGTTTTACAATTTAAGCTCAAGGTAATTATAATGTCAAATTGCCCTATTTTGGGGGTGCTGTATCCCCTTCACTTGTTGTAGAAAGCTTATAAATTTGATAGATGCAGGGGAGATTTCAGTCAGTGGTCCTGTCTCAGCTTCATCAAACTCGAGAGTATTAAATTTGAATATTGTGAATGTGGAAAATCTTTATCCAGACATCAAATCTTGTAGATTTGGGTTTACCTATTACATTCTTTACATCCTTTAGCCTACATGAGCCATGAATATGACCACTGAAAATTGCCAAGTTATGTATCAGATTCATCGGGTGGGACAACTGACAACAACCTTAATGATCATTAACTTTTAAGGGCAACTATTCACTATTACTAATCACAGAAATGACAGGAATTTGTGATATGTGGGGAGTTACCTTCAGGCTATACATATATCCTTTTAATCCTCAAGCTTTAACCCATATATCTTTGCTCAGACCTTTCTGATAATTGCCAAAATCTGTATTACCATGGGTGCAATATCACTTCCTGTTCCATTATTTCTCCTGTGTTTCTGTGGTATGGGAGAGTTTTCTCCAGATTTTAAAATTTGTCACTATAGTGTGATTTTTTTTTTTATCCTGAACTAGTTGTTTTTTTCCATGCTGATACCTGGGATAAACCTTGTAGGTTGGTTCAAATTCACTCCTATTTCCCATTATGTTTCTGATCTTTTTGCCCTTAGCAAAGCATTCTTGTTCTGATCATGTTTAATCAACTTTTCTAATACTTTGTATTGTAGAGGAAGTAATTCATTCCCCCCCCAACCCCCCAAAATCTTATACTTTTTAAAGATTTAGAATCCTAAGGCCCCTTTAAATACTTTGAAATTCTGATTGGAATAGCATTTCATTTCCCCTCAATTAGGTATACACAAGGTATAACCAACTCAACTAGTTTAGATTTATTTCTAGGACACCCAAAGATACAAACCTAGTGATGTGGTGACCTTTTCTGCTTCTTTGTTGGCTTGATTATAGAGAACATTCCCCAATCCCATTTCATCCTCTGGAGAGAGTTATCTGTACCTTAAACATGAGTTTTCTTCTCCCTGCCATGTGGGTCTTTCTTACCTGTCTCTACTATTACAACAAATGTTAGGGTCATCCGAGGACCTGAGAAATTAGATTTCCTTCATCCCTACATGTTCTTCAGTTGCTCCAGGCACACACGAGGCCAGTTTACACATGATTTTGCAATAATTGCACGACCATCATTCACACCAGGTCAGTTTTCTTGCCTCTGACAGAATGACCCTGAGTTTCAGTTGGATCACAAATACTGCACATATAATATTTGAATCTACACTGCCTGCTAAGTTAACTGCATCAACTTAGTTAACTGCCATCAACCAACTCTGAACGGATCACCAGACTGACTGGCGACCCACCTAGAGATGAGGAATCTCTGGAGTACTGCTCAGGTAGGTGACTGCCTGCTTCTTCCTCAGGCTTAGTCACTTCTGTATTCTGGGGCCCTGTCCTCTCACCTTGGACACACATGTTTTTCAATATCAGGTCAGTAGGAAAACATTGAGCCCATTTGTAGTCTGCATCCTGCAAATGAATTTCAGGGAGTTCATTAGCTGCATGTAGGTCTTATTTCTAACAGTTCGTGGCATTTGTAAGTTTTGAAATGAGTCACTATTACTCAACATTGTCAGGAACATGTGATATGTGCATTCTTTTTGAGAGTATATAGCTTTAAATTTTTGAAATGATCAATTAAAAGTTTTAACTGCTGCTTAGAAGTGCTCGCAGGAAGCTTTGTGACTGTCATGGCTAACCCCAAGTCCAGTTTCACAGCTGCTGTAGCCTGTGACACTGCCATCTTTGAGGTCAGGATTGTGGGTGAATAGGTTAGAGGTTTGTTTTCTGAGCTCCACTTGGATTTCCTGTTCTCATGGGCATGCTGATTCCAGCGACCCCTGTCAGTTCCTGTCAGGGGTGAGGCTGGATTGAAGTGTTTCAGAAACAGACCTGGGAAAATCTGTCGGCTCCTTTCTTGCTGTTGGCTTTCATTTCTGTTAGATGATAGCTTTCAGATAGAGGCTCTTCACTCAACTAGGTAAGTTTTAATTTAGCACCATTTTGTGTGCAGCTCAGAAAAGTACACCTTTGAGAATCTGAGAAGGTAACGAGAGACTATCTTGTTATCCAATGAATTCACTTGTGTATAAAATTGCATTCTGGGTGTGTGCATGTGAATGTTTTATTTATAGATGTGTCTTTATGCCTTGTGTGTGTCTTCATACTTTGGGTGGAATTCTCAATATCCTTTAAAATGGGCTGTTTTAAAATATGCAATTTTTTTGTAAACTAGATTGTAAATATATTGAAGTTAAGTATATCTGCTTAGCTCCAACATGCCTTAGAATTCTTGAAAAACAATTGAAACTCTTAGGTGTGCATCTGTGTTTGCGTGTGTATGTCTGTTTATGTTTTAAGGGTTCAGCAGTAACACTTGGGAACCTGTCTGCAGGTAAAAATGGATCCTTGGCCAATGGTTGGGGTTAACATGCAGAGCAAGCCTCCATGAGGTTTAGCAGACAGCACCTGTCTGTCTGGGAACTAAATGGTGCTGTCAGATGTCATGTAGTGCTAAAGCATAATACAGCCATAATTGGCTATCCCTTGTTGAGAAAACTTGATGAGTACATGGATCATTTAGTGAAAATGGTGCCTTAGGAGTAGGGACTACATCTTTGGCTCAACAAACTGTGACCCATGGGTCAAATCTAGCTCATTGCTTTTCTACAATGCAGACTCAGAATGATTTTTTTTTTTGTAATTATTATGTGATTGAAGAAAGTGAATATTTTTACATGTGAAGATGAATAAATATTCTTTTGTCTTTAACATATTGCCAGAGTCAGCTGTCATCATTTATTTACTTGATGTCTATAGCCAGCAGAATTCAGTAGTTGCAAAATAGATACTTCCATTGGGGGCACTTGTGTTGTTTCACACTACTGTTCATAGTGTTACAATGGCCAGTGATGCAGTTAAAACTTGCCAGTATTTTGTTTCAAAGTGCCATATTGTAGGACATTTAAAAATTACTGATATATCTGAAGCAGAAGAGGTGAAGTGGATTTTGAAAGTACAATGGAGTATATTTTGTGTTGAATTAGTTGCTCATACTTACAAATGAAAATAGTGTCACCATACATGTGCCAAAAATGTAATGTGGGTATGCAGCTATTGTCATACTAAGCTTTTATCAAAATACTCCCACCTCATAAGTAAGCAGTTGCCAAAATTGGAAAACCTGAATGTCTCATCACAGAATAACATCACAAAATAACCAAGAAAATGTGACTGCTTTGAAATCAAGTTTTCAAATGGCTTATTTGTGAAGTGAGAAAAATATAGTTCAGTAATATTGAATTAATTAGATTGTATTTTATTACAACAGGTGAAGATGCACACATTGGAGAGTAGGAGGAGATCCAAACTTAAGATTCTTATTTTCATTAGAACACTTGCCTTAAGAGTAGAGTTCTAGAGTCAGCTGATCAATATGGTGGTGAAGAAAAGCTGCGAGTAAGTTCTGCCATAAAAACGATTAGTAGAGAGAAAAAACGGCAGGTCCCTGTGAGAACTGAAATGTGCAAGATAAACTGGCAATGCTGGCAAACTGCCCGAAGAGGATAGTTGCAACAATAGGACAAGAAGAGAGGAAAGCATCAGAACCCTGCTACCCTCTCCCATCCACAAATCCAGCACACTCTAACCAACAGAAAGGAGAAAAAAACAAGAGCAAACTAGAGATCAAGCAGGATAGTGACAGAGTGAAACTACTTCAGGCAGCACTTGCCATGACCAGGAACTGTGGGGAACTGTGTGGGAACTGCCACAGAGGTAAGTGAAAGGCACCAGGGTAATTACAGACTTGATGCCGTTAGAGCAAGATAGGGACTCTGCGGAGAGACCTGCAAATAGCTAAAGGCCAGCCAGTAAGCTTGTGTGGAAAAGTGTGTGTGCTCGAAAAGCATAGCAGATCGCAGCTGCCCAGGTTCCCATGCCCACGACCTAGGACTGTGGGAAGACACGTGGGAGCTGTCACTGACCTGCGCTGGGTAATCAAAAACTAGGTGCCCAGGTATGGTATCCGGTGCAAAAGGCACCATTTCTACGGGCACTGAACTGGGCTACCACCCACTTTCTGGATCTGAGAGCTTCGGAAATGAGAGCCAGGACATGAAATTTGGGGGGGGTGGGATTCCTACGACTGGGGGTTATAGGACAGAGCACCCCACACCGCTGAGACACTCCACTCTGACACTTTCCCCCTTCTCCCCCATTCCCTGGAGACCTACAGGGAAAAAGCACAGTTCTGGAAGGATACTAGGAAAGGTCTCTGGTGCCACTTACTGATCAGAACAAAATCACCAAATACCTGATAATTGGAAGCCAGGGTTTCCAATCCACACTTGGGCTCCAAGAGATGGGGTGGGCCATGCAAATATGAGGGTGAGAAGGGAAATGAGGCATGGAGCAAGACTACTGAAGGCCCCATGCAATAGCCCGCATTCTGGAACTGAGAGCCGGGCAGAGCCGGGCATGGGATCTGGGGTATGGGACATGCCATAACAGTGGGCACTGTATAGGTGACAGCCAGCATTTTGGATCTGAGAGCCCTGGAACAGAACTAGGGTGCAGAATTCAGGGAGCAGGATCCACACAGCTGCAGGCACAGTACCGGGTGAACCCAGGATAGACACAGCACCCAGCGTAAGCGATAGGCCTTGTGTTGAGGCACTACCCTCCCCACCTCTGTTTCCCAGAGAACTACTGGGAAAAAGCACAGGTCGAAAAGTACAGGTCTCTGGAGTCACCTAGTGAACAGAACAAAATCACCAACTAGCTGATTCCCTGCTGGAACTGAGTAAATACAGAGGGATGGAACTGTAAGGGAAAGTGCCCAGCAACACAGCCACAGCATCAACATCCTGGTGGAGTTTTAACCTAACAGTGCTGGAATCGGCCTGGTAAGCAGAAGGAGCACTCCAAAGAGATGCCTGCCAACACCAGTGGCACAACACCCCAATGCATAGAATTAAGTAGAAAGTAAACAGGAGGGAGAAAGAAAAATATAAATAACCAAGCAAGCCCGCAGGGGAAGGACAGCCACAAAAAGAAAAACAGTCACCAGATCTCAACAATGACATGGAAGAACTTCTCTTCCTGCCAGATAGAGAATTAATGATCATGATTATAAAGCAGAAAGTAAATGAAAAGGAAACAAATGATATGAGACAAATAATGAACTGAAGAACGAAAATGAGACCTTAAGAAAGGAAATAAAAGAAACACAGAAGATTAAAAGATTACTGGAGGAGATAAAGAACTTGGGGAACAGCAATGAAAACAGAATCTTCCAAACTTCAAGCTATACTACAAAGCCATAATAATTAAAACAGTTTGGTATTGGAACAAAAACAGACAAACAGACCAATGGAACAGAATAGAGAGCCCAGAAATAAAGCCACGCTTATATGAACAACTAATCTTTGACGAACAAAGAATATGCAATCTAACATAGACAGTTTGTTCAATAAATGGTGCTGGGAAAACTGGACCACCACATGCAAAAAAATGAAACTAGACCACTACCTCTCACCATGCACAAAAATCAACTCAAAATGGATAAAAGAACTGGCCATAAGACCTGAAACCATAAAATATATAGAAGAAAATATAGGTAAAACACTATAAGACATACATCTCAGAAACATCTTTAAAGACTCATCACCCAAAGCAGTGATAGTGAAGGCAAAGACAAACACCTGGGATTACATCAAACTGAAAAACTTCTGTACAGCAAAATAGACATTAACCAAAACAGAGAGACACCCCACTGATTGGGAAAAAAATCTTTACACTCCATTCAACTGATAAGGGACTGGTCACAAAGATATACAAAGAACTCACAGGGCTCAACAAAAACAAACAATCCAGTCAAGAAATGGGCAGAAGAACTTAAAAGATATTTCTCCAAAGAAGAAATGCAAATGGCCAACAGGCATATGAAAAAATATTAAATATCCCTTATAATCAGGGAAATGCAAATCAAAACCACAATGAGATATAACCTTTCACCAGTAAGAATGGCACATATCAAAAAACAAGCAACAACAAATGTTGGCAAGGATGTGGTGAAAAAGGAACTCTCCTACCTTGCTGGTGGCAGTGCAAACTTGTCCAACCATTATGGAAATCTGTCTGGAGCTTCCTCAGTCTACTAAAAATGGAGCTACCATATGACTTGGCAATTCCACTCCTAGGGATCTACCCTAAGGACACAAACACAGTGATTCAAAAGAACACCTGTACACCTATGTTTATTGCAGCACTATTTACAATAGGTCAAACCTGGAAACAACCCAAATGCCCAAAAATAGATGACTGGATCAAGAAGATGTGGTATATATACACAATGGAATATTATTCAGCAATGAAAAAAGATAAACTCATGCCATTTGCAGCAACATGGATGGAGCTAGAAGGAATTATGCTCAGTGAAATAAGCCAGAAGGATAAAGAAAAAAAAATATCAGATGGTTTCACTTATAACAGGAATATAGGGGAACCAAATAAGACATCAGTGTAAAAAAAATAACAGTACAAAACACAACAAAGCAAAAACAGACAATTATAAATCAGAGACATACTTCAGGGGAGGAGGGAGAGGGATCAGAGGGAGGGAGGGAAGAGCACAGGGGACGGTGTTGATGGTGCACAGGTGCCTTGGGGCAGGAAATTCTATGGGGACTCAACCGGAGGGGGTGAGGGGAAGCAAATATTGTTTTAAAATAAAGAAAACAGAATCTATGAAATGGAAGAATGGTTCATTACTCAAAGATACAGAAATAAAAAGAACCAAAATAAGAAAGAAGCGAGAAGCACAAAGGAAAAAGAATGAGGATACTATTTGACAATTATCAGACTCCATGAAGAAATGAAATACAAGAGTTATAGGCATTCCAGAAGGTGATGAGAGAGACAAAGGATCTGAGAAATTATTCAAGGAGATAATTGGAGAGAATTTCCCAAGCATGAAAAAGGAGACAAGTGAGAGTTGATTTCAGTAGGGATAACATGAACAGTCAAGTAAGAAGAAGGCAGATGACTTAAATGGTTTTCCTTGGCTGTCTTGTGTCAGGATTTGTTACCAGTACTGGTCTGTTGATTTTAATTTTATTTCAATGCTACATTTGAAATGACTGAAGAATTAACTTCTATGAACCATCTGTATGGAGCAACTACAGTTGAGAATATTGTCAAAGTCGTTGGGAAAACTCTTAGTTGACATTACCTGAAACCTGAAGTGAAATGTGCTTAGATGTGTTACAACTGAGGGTGGCAACCATATATGTAGAGCATAAAACATCTTAGGTGACATTTATAAAAAGTTTATCAAGTTGTTGCTGTAGTGAAATGATGGTACCTTAGAATAATTTCAAAATCATAGCAGGCACAGTGCTACAAAAGAATAAATCAGGCTGATCCAGAACGGATCTTGTCCTTTCAATTACTTGCCTCAACAAAACACAATATTCTATAATGGAAATCAACATAATTGTGATTGTGGGTTGAATAGTGTCTCCCCAAAGGCATATCCACTTGAGAGCTCAGAGTGTGAGCTTAGTGGAAATTAAGTGATTAATAACGATAGCTGAATAAGCAGATCAGTGAACAATAACTGATGTCATGTTCTGCATTGTCTTCATCATTATCATTGTGGGTATCACCATTCTTACCATAACATTGACCCCTACTACTTTGCTTAACTGGAGTTGAGCAGACATCTGTGACACTCTATCACTCATGGTCTAAACTCAGTT